GTTGAAATCGCCTTAGTGTTCAATAATTTATTGACACGGCACAGTTTTTGCTGGCTCCGCCCATCGGTGTATCTGTATAATAAGCGTTACTCATTGTATAACTACTTATTCATGCTAATTACATCGTTCTCAACTAGATTCCGTGATTAATTTGTCAATGTTTTGTTTAAATTATATGTTCTCATGTCTATAAATCGCTTTCTACCTAGAGCTCTATCAATAAAGATCTATTTGTGTTAAATCGGACTTTGTTTCCCTTTTTCCAATTAGATATTCCTGTAGAAGCCGATTGGCATTTGCAGCACTCCCAGAGTTAATTCCCCGAATTCACCATTCAGTATCACGAAGGAATTTATTCCAGTGTGACAAATTTAATGTGTGAAAAGTGGTGGAGAATCCGGGTAGAATTCAAAGATCCCGGACCTCATGAGTACCAGTAAGTACCTCACTTACAATCTTCGCTCAGCTAGTACTGAGAGTGAAAATCAAACTGAAAACCTCAGTGATACAATCATGGCTACAGCTACGACAACCTCAGCAACAAACACCACAGTCACTTCAAGTTCTGGATTAAGTTCAATTTCCAGTACAACAAGAAGAACAACTACCTCAAGCATTGCATCCATCAGGACTTCCACTGTGAGTGCCTCAGCCCCAATTCCAAGTATTGTGTCATCAACCCCTACTCCTCAAATAAACATGGCACAAACATTCATAAAAGGCCCTGAGTCCTCCCAGTTGCCAAAATTTTCTGGACGCAGAGGAAATATAACTGCATCACAATGGTGGATGTTATTTATCCAGTGTGTACTTTGCACTCCTTCTCTGAAAATCAAATTCTCAGCCGAATCGTGTTCCATTTAACAGACATCGCACAACAGTGGTTTTTAGCCTTACCTCAGAACTCCAAAGCCACTCTCCGTCTTCTAAAAACGGCATTTTTGTCAAGATTTGGGAAACAGAATGCCTATAGTTTAGACTTTTTTAAATGTTCAACAGCTTATTGATGAGTCTGCTGAAGAATATATATCAAGGATTCAGCAATGGCTTGTGATTGAGATTCCTCAACAGCTATTAGTTAATCTTATAGCCAAAGGATTAAAGCCGGACTTATCAAAAAAAGTTCTAGATAAAGATCCCACAAGTTTTGATGAACTCTTTCCAAGCGTGCTGAATCAACAATTCAGATGAGAAAGTCGGACTCAACAGTTCTCGCATCAACAGAAGGTATGGAAGACCGCTTACTATCAAAACTCTCAAAACAGATAGAATCCACTGTGTTAGCATTCAAAGGAGAAAATGAACTAAAGGACAGAAATCCAGAGCCCCCTTCAACATGGTCTAGAGACAAAGAGTATCGAAAAAACAAACAGTTTAATCCTCGTTCGGATAGTTACAACCATGTGAATAATGGGACTTAAAATCATGGACAATCCAATGCATACAAACAATACAGACCGTTTACTCCGCGTGGTAACACTAGGCCAATGCGACCCCAGTTCCAGCCCCAAGGAGCCCCAAGGCAGCAGTACAGACAAGACGCACCCGAGTTTAGAGGACAGTCAGGCCCTCGTAAGTGTTTTAAATGTGGTTTAAACTGTTTTTATAGAGTTTGTTTTGCAATGGGTCATCAATGTAATATTTGTTCTGGTAAAAATCATTTTGACAATGTCTGTTTTAACAATCCTGACAGTCAATTTTTTTTATGCTTTTTCAACTCAACAAAAGGGACTCATGCCTATTCCAGAGATGGATAGGCGCCTCGAAAATTGTAAAGTTGCTGAAATCAATTTAGCTACAAATATGACAAAAAACACTGTCCCAGTATTTATTAATGGTGCTAAAACAAATGCTCTTGTTGATACAGGTGCTTCAATTACAGTCATTAGTTCTACATTTTTGAACAAAACTTCTTATGCTAACAATGTGCTACAAAACCCAGATTTTCAGTTTGTAAATGGAGTAGGTGGACAATTAAAAGTGCTATGAAAAATTGAACTACCATTAAATTTCACTAAAGGTGCTACATTTAACTTTTCAGTTCATGTTGTGGACAGACTTCCACATTCTTTAATTGTGGGTATAGATTTTATGAAACAACACAAGGTTACCATCAATTTGGCAAACGATACTTTATCTTTTTATGACAGTTCTGTTAATGTTTGTTTGTTGCAGTCCAATAGTGGCATTGTCAGAGTGGCAAAATCAACAAATTGCCACCAAATTCTGAAAACATTTTGTCTGTCAATGTGTCCCGAAGGTTTTCAAGTGAAGAAATGCTATTAGAACCTTTACCTGAAATTCAAAACTTGCATATTTCAGGTGCTAAATGCTTAGTCAAAATTAAGAATGGACATTCCGTCTTAAAGGTGCTAAATCCAACTACTCAAACCGTTCATTTACCAAATGATAAGATTCTTGCTAGTGCATCAGAATTTGACCAAAATGCTGTATTCAACTTTGATGACACACCATCTTCATCAACATGCAACATTGGACCTATTCATGTGGTTCAAACACAACAGCATTCTCATTCAAATTTTACACAGCAATCACCTGACATCTCTTTTGATCTCAGCAAATCTGATCTAAATGCACAGCAAAAACAAACACTGACACAATTTTTGCACAAATCAGAGATATTTTTGCAACAGGGTACCATGAACTTGGCATATGCAACACCTACATGCACAAAATTGAGACACAGCCCAATGCCAAACCTGTCAAAATGCCTTTTTACCGCACAACACCTGCAAATCACAAAGATATAAATAGACAAGTTAAAGACTGGTTAAAAATGACATCATTCAAGAATCAAATAGTGATTGGCACTCCCCATGTCTACTTGTTAAGAAAGCTTCAGGTGAATTCCAACTTGTTACAGATTTTAGGCGTCTCAAGAAAATTACAAAACCAATGTCCTTCCCTTTACCTCGTTTAGAGTGTGTCTTTGATACCATTGGTCAAAGTAGAGCCCAGTTTTTCACAAGTCTTGATCACCACAGCGCTTTCCTTCAAATAGGTATGCATCCAGATTCTCGTCATAAAGCTCCTTTTATTACTCAGAATGGCATCTATGAATACAAGCGAATGCCATCATTTGACCCATTTAGAGCAGGTCTTTACTCATTTACGCCAAGCAAATTTGAAGCTGAAACCTAGTAAATGTGACTTTGCTGCTAAAGAAATCAAATACCTTGGTCACATTATTTCAAAACATGGTATCAGAACAAATCCAGAAAAAACACAAGTAGTCAGAACTTTTCCAGTACCCAAAAAGCAAAAAGATGTGTACGATCCTTTCTTGGCCTCTGCAACTATTACCGCCAATTTGGCAAAGACTATTCAAAAATTACTTCTCCTCTCAATAACCTACTCAGAAAAGATGTTCCATTTCAATGGACAGCAGATTGTCAAGGATCCTTTGATTCCCTCAAACAATCTTTGGTCTCTTCTCCTATCTTAGCTTATCCAAATCTCAACAAAAATTTCATACTGACTTGTGATGCCTCTTCCTCTGCTATTGGTTATGTTCTTGGTCAGTTGGACGACAAAAATAAGGAACATGTTATTGCCTATGGTGGTAGGAGTCTTTCTGAGGCAGAAAGAAAATGGTCCACTTCTGAACAAGGAATGCTTGCTGTACTTGAAGGTAAAAGATCTTACCGCATCTATCTGTCTGATAAGAAATTCACAATCTACACAGACCACAAAGCCTTGAAGTATGTCATGGACCAAAAACGATCCACAGGACGCCTAGCACGTTGGGCTATGGAATTCCAAGGATATCAATTTGATATCATGCATAGGCCTGGCAAAAACAACGAAGTTGCGGACGCATTGAGCAGAAGAGAGTACAACACCCATATAGACAAGACAGAGGAAAACAATGTATGTTCTGTAACACCAGCTGAATCAACTTTTTCCTCTCAAATCTTTCCTCAAAAAGAGACTACTGTCATTACATCTGAAACATCACCCTCTGACTTACATTGTTTAAGCAGTCCTTCTGAGCTGACACTGGTTAGTCTTTTCAATGTAGACTCCCCTGACATTTGTAGTATAGAATCAGATATTGAAGTTGGCAACTTTCAACATCCAGATCTTTCAACTCTCTCAAATCTGTCAAGTCTCCAACAGAAATGTCCTGATTTCAGGGATATTTATGCTTACTTAAAAGATGGTACCTTACCAGATGATGAAAAAAACTCAAATCAAGGTCATACAGACTTCCAAGTACTTCGACCTCTGCAATGATGTGGTTTCAAAGACGAGTAAAATCTACCTCACCAATGAACAACAAATGGATTCAACAAGTAGCCCTGCCAAGAATATTAAGATTAGATGCCCTCAAAGCCTATCACGATAACAGTGCAGGAGGAGCCCACCTTGGTATTGAGAAAGTCATGGCCGCCATGAAATCCAAATACCACTGTCCTCGTATGCACCAGGACATCTATGATTATATCCACTCTTGTGATACCTGTCAACGCATCAAAAGGGACACTCATGCTCGAAACCCTCCTTTAACACCTCTTCCTATCGTTGGTCGTTTTGAGAGATGGCACATGGACTTCCTGAAGTTACACAAGACTAAAGAAGGTTACCAATATGTCTTGCTTGTTGTCGATTCCTTTTCCAAATGGGTAGAAGCATTTCCAATGAAAACTCAAGAGAGCACTGATGTGGCTAGGTGTCTTTTTGAGAACATTTTCTCTCGTTTTAGCTGCCCAAAATATCTTGTCTCTGATCGTGGGAAATCTTTCATGAACAATCTCATATCATCTCTACGTGATATCTTTGAAATCAAACATTTTCTCACTTCTAGCTATCATCCCAAAACAAACAGCCAGGTTGAGAGAACCAACAGCACACTCATTCAGTGTTTTCGAGCTTATTCAGACAAAAACCAAAGCAACTAGCCATCCAAACTTCCTGGTATTTTAATGGCCTTGAGAAATTCTCCATCAACACAGTCAACTGGTTATTCTCCCTACTACATGGCATTTGGAGTTGAAATGAATTTACCCTTTGATGTCAATGCTATCCCCAAAGACAAACCCCTAGGAAACAATGCAAATTCTCAGATGCAAGATTTAATTCAAAACATCAAAATTACTCAACAAATTGCCTCTGAAAACATAAAAAAGAGCCAAGAGAAATCTAAAGAGAGATTTGATCAACATTCGAAAATTCCTGATTTTAAACTCTTTGACAAAGTGTTACTCAAGGTTCACAAAGTTCCAGTAGGACTGTCTCCAAAGCTCACTGAGAAGTACCAAGGCCCATTTATTACTATCATTTTCAAAATTATTTCATAATTTAACGACAATTATATGTTTCAAGAATGTAATAGCGTTTCATTTTAAAGAAATTTAAATACGTGATAAAAACCCTTTAAAGATATCGATTTTCGCTGTTTAGACAGTTGGCCCCGTTCCTCTTCTGTCATACTTTTTAAGTTTGGAAGGTATCTGTTTCAAACTTCAAACACTTGTTCATGGCCCCTAATGTAAAATTAGCTGTTCCCAATAATAAAATAATATCATTAACCTGACATTTATATAGATAGGAAATTGCATTGATCACAATGTAATTTATTTGCTGGAGCACTCAACAAACTTTATTTTTGGGACCTTCGCATCCATTCCCATTTTTCGGAGGACTTGCTAATTTTAATAATTCTGAATCAAGGATTTTCGGAACATTGTTGTAACCAGGCTTGGAGTAGGGTGTCATACCGGATGAATGCTGTTACCAAGGCGTAGAATATGGTAAGCATATAAAAGTAGTATAAAATATTCATAAATTGAAACTAAGGTTGGTTTTGAAAATGGTATGAGAATATGTGGCTGTTGGTTGGATATCTTTGGTAAATAATGTGTTTTAAGAAATAAAATTGGATATGACCGAGATATTTGTATATAATCTGAATAGCGGTTAGCACGCTTCCTCTGAGAATATAGCAAAATTCTTTGTCGGACATGACGATATTGGAGTACCGTAGAGTTTATGTCCAATGAGATCAGACAAGAATTCGAAGCAGAAATAATGAATTGTACATTATTTAATAAATGACAAAGCCAGTAACATTGGAGTTCCTCCCATGAACATGAACACACATTTTTTTAATCAATTGATGCCATTAGAGCATGTTCAATAAATTTATCAAGTTTTAATTTCCTTTGGGTTGAAATACAAAAAAAAAATGCAATTTTTGGAATTCAACTTCGGTGGCGAAAGGAAGTACTGACGACGCAAAAAAAAGTTATGTTAGACATCTATCTGTCATGCTCTATGATCTCGGGCATTATGTTGTTACTATCGTTTGGTTGCTAGCATATAAAGATCTCACAGTATTATGAATTTGGAGAAGAGTTAAACTAACTGGATCAAAAGCAAAACTCCCTTTACCTCCTGTTTTCCAGTAAACGAAAGCTATAGACCATATATGTTCTAGCTGAAAGTGGGGATCAGACATGAGTCCGGTTACTTTAAAAAAAAATCAATTGATTAAATTACAGTTACATTGGTCTTTATAATTTTGTAATCGATTAAATTAATGATACACGATTTTTAAAATGTAATAAATTAAATTTATAATTACATAAAAGTAACCATGATTGTATATGATTACAATTAGGCTGGCTGAAATTAATTCTATGTTTAACGTCACCTGAAAACTTCAAAACCTGCGAGAGAGGGAGAAAAGATTAAACAAAAATTTCAAACAAATCAATATTTACCCATGAATAAAAATACTGTTAACATCCGTGCATCATGTAGGCTTATTACATGTTTAATTTTTAATAATAATTTAATAATTTTTAGTAAATCTGTCAGTATAAATGATGGACTCATCTTAAATATACCTCTTAAAGGACCCATATGTTGTCTATTCATATTAAATGCATCTTTAGTTGCTAAAATCAAAGCAAACCGGAATACAAACTTAGGAAAATACCGATCTGTTTTTTGTTTTTTTTCTTCGGAATTGCAAATTTCTCCGAAATCTACTCTCGCGGGTAACGTTAAACATAAAACTATCTTTGGACAGCCTTAATTATATTACTTTTGATAAATTTCTGTACATAATCAGAAAAGTTTTAAGGTTAAAACAATTTTATTGTATGATTGAATAATTCATTTCTCTCTGATTAATTGAGATCCAACAATGTAGAAAAATAGCACGTTAAATTCACCTGCACGTGACCTTCCAGGTGAATATAAGGATTTATTTTTCTCCACATTAGACTAAAAATAGATTGGGAAATTCCAAATTGATACAAATAGTTTTGGAAAGTTGTTTCACTTGCACCTGAGTTCACTCATATGAAGATAACAATAAGGCACATTGATTCTTGGGTGAGGGGGAAGTTGCGGGAGGCCTGTCCCTCTCCCCACCTTTTGATAATGTAAAGATTTAATTTAAAGATATCCGCTCCTCAGCGAGGAATGATAACTCTTAAAATTATCATTTAATTAAAGGAGTCTCAACATAAAGCTTGAAATTTTCATTTCATGCATCTCAATAAGAATCAAAGTTCTTTGAAGTCTTAGAAATGGTCTTGTAAAAAGTTGACATTTGTACCTCATAAAATACCTTTTTAGAAAAATTGACTTTTCCTAATCTAGCCTTAGAAACCAATGTTTATTAGCATGATAGTTACTCATGATATGAAATTAGAAGTGACCTGTGATGTCTTGCAATGATAGCTGAAGTTTTTTACACTATATATTGTATTACAATTGAAGTCAATAGAAGAACTAATGTAGTGTATCTATACTTATAAATTAATAAATTTTGCAAATAAACTCCGAAACGGGTGCACCAGAGTTCTTACTTACTCCTCTAACAATACACTAGATACAAGCTGATGTCCGTAAACTATATTTAGATTTCACTCGCATAGTAAGTATCGTACATTAAATTAAAAGTCTACTTTCATTTTCTATAAACAGCCATGAAATAGCTAAAACGTGAGTAAGGTGGCGTTTCCGGTTGGCGGATCTAAGTTACTGGCAATTTTTAATGAAACTGACAACAAGCAATCGTTTATTTATTACAGAAAACGTCATCACTGAATTATTCAATCAAAACTCGATTTAAATTATATAAAAGAAATAAGCTGTGATAACCGATTAAAAAGGGAAATGTGCAAAATATTTTTGTCATTCACCGATCTTCATATTGACGGAAGCTTCTAGAACATCATATAGCATCGAGCCCGATGTTAAGAAAAAAACGAGGCGATTATAGCTACATGACCATAAAAAAGCTTTTGTGTAAATGGTCATAATTGAAATAATGGTAAATCACTGATAACACTCTAAGTTGTGAATATGATTATATGTCGAAAGACTATTACATATACATGTATGTAGTAGGTTTTCCTAATAAATCTATCGGTAAAATTTGTATATATTCCTTACTGAGAGCAATCGTGGCAACGAACCCGAAATACAATTTGTTCTTCGTAATAAACTTGCTTACATGAAAAGAGAAAATTAATGAAAAAGGTATTGTTCAAATACAATTAAAGATGTAATATTTTCCGCTTTAATCAATGCACAGTTAATTTCTGAATACAATCTTTTATAGCTGCAATAATGTAGCCCTCTCCTTTTTTGAAAGGGGCGGGGGGCAGAGAGAGAGAGAGGCCAGAAAATATCAGATCCAAAAAAAAAAAATAAATAAAAAATAAAAAAAATAATAATAAAAAAATAAAAATCGGAGAGAGCTACATTATTGCAGCTTAGTCTTTTGTATCAAATACTCAGCCTATTCATAGGGCGTTAAAAGCTAATTTTTACACAGGTACTTGGTTCTTGGTTTATAAATATGTATGTACCTATTATTGATAGGTAAAAAAGTAAAATACATTTTTACATATCAATAAGGTACAAACATATTTATAAACCAAGACCCAAGTACCTGTGAATTTTTAACCCCCCCCCCCCCCCCCCCAATCAATTTATTATAAAAATGTGCATATTCGTTGCTTTTATCCTTGACGGAAATGAAATAAGAGCATCTGAAGTACAATATCCATAACATGGTATAACAGGTTTCACAATAAACGTCAATTAATGATTTTCAAGTTTAAAAAAATAATAATAAAATAAAACAAACACAAAAACGGAGGTTGGGGTGGATAGGTAAATCTACTTCCTGCGGGATTTGAGCAAAGTATTTGTTCCTGCTATAAGCCTGTAGGCTGTCAGTAGAGAACTACAATATATTTTCTGTCGGTAGTGGTATAAATTCAATTCCCCGCGCTTGCGCGGGATTTCCTCTAGTAATTATATATAAAAAAAAAAAAAAACATGCAATTTTCTCCAAATGCCTGGATACCTAAAATAAATATATTTTCTTGATCGATTTTTAATTAGAAAATTGACAATGGGTGCTTTTATTCGCATTTCCTGAAAATATTTTTGAGATTTGATAATTTCATCTATATAATATGATCAACTATAATGATGAACTTTGAAGAAATACCATAGGTAAATACACATTATACTTTCAGAATTCAGAGACATTTTTGTGAACATTTTCAATTAATCAACTCCCGATTTTCCGAACCTGAGGATCGGACTACCTTGAATTTTAAGGATAAAAATTTTCAATGAAAACTCCCCCCTCCCCTCGTTTATGGACCCTAACATCCCACCAAATAAAATTTTTAGTTGGGGGAATTCTTTTCTTATTTTTTGGCCGGGGTTGGGGGGGGGGAGGGGGCTAGTAAAAAATTTGTTTTCAGGTAAGTTGTCAATTTTTTTCCTTATAATGCACCCTTTTTCAAATTCAATCCTATATATATATATATATATATATATATATATATATATATATATATATATATATATATATATATATATATATATATATATATATATATATCCCCTTTATTTTTTCTACACTGCACCTAAAATAGAATTGAAAATTCCAAAATAATACTATACAATTTTTGCTGGATTTTGAGGTCAATACGATGATTTAGACACCTGAGGAGTACAATGTTTGTTTGCCCGCTACAAGCCCAGTGCATGTATTTTATCTATGAATCGGTGAATTTGTAACAAAGAGTGTGAGAGAAAATTCTAGAATTTATATCTTTAAATTTTATTATTGATAGGTTCCAAATACTATTTTATGGGTATATAAATAGAGTAATTCAAAAAATCCAAAACCAAAAACAATACAAAAACACTGATCTTGCAAACTGTAGAACAAGTACGTATGTCCCATCGACCCAGAATTCCATTATTGCTAACACAATTCTTTCTTTAATTCTCTGTATTTAAACTCTTATTTTAACAAAAATCAAAAGGGGGTTCGAACCCCTCTTCTAGATCCAACAAAGGAGAGTATATTGTCAAAATATGTTGGTAAAAATATTTTTTTATGATGTACATGTATTGGTTTTTGCGTGAGAACAGCAGCAGTTTATTTTCTTCTTCATAAGCTTATAGAAGTTTTAGAAAGTAATCTATTTTTTTCCAAACAAATCTAGATTCTGACAGGATTTTTGTCCACGTTAAACCACCATAAACAAGGGTTTGACACTTGTCGGACGATTTAGCCAATTGTAAAGGATATGATGTGTACGTCAATTCATTTTACAGGTTATATAAAGGTTGTGTAAACCCGGATTTTAATGTGTCCCTACTTAAATCGAAAAATTGAGTCAACACTATGGTAAGATAAAATTTCTATATTTTTTTTTTACTTCAAGTTTGCAAAATTCAATGCAATTAAATATATGCGAGAAATGTATATATTTTCATTTTGATTGAAGGTTCATTTGTCATCCCCAAATTTAAATTATGCATTGCTAATTTACATCAAAATGAAATTATCTGACTTAAATTTTGGCTATAGATAAACCATACAGTAATATATAGCATGAATTTCAGGTCGTTGTATTCTATTACATGTGCATCCGAAGTTACAACACAATTATCTTTTGATCCATTTTTTTCTCTCTGTTTTATGACCACTCTTACGCCAGTTTATTTAAACAATCTTGACACATGAGAACTGCGATTTCTGGTTTGTATCTACCAAATTCATCATTAAGTAGAGAGTCGTAAATCTCTCTTATGAAATCTTACACAAAAGCATCTGTGCTAAGCCATACTTTCCAATGATTTTATATGAACCATTGCAAAGAGGGCAACTGCAAGTTAAAGTATTCGAATTATGCAAAGAAAGCTGGGATAGACTTCGAAGACAGCATTGGAGGTTTGGATATACCGGTATGTCACGAGCGTTTTTGCTACACAGAGTAAAGCAAAATAAATTTTTAACGTTTCTCAAAATTACATTTTTTTTTTTTGCTTTAAACAATAATTGTTTTATATAATTATTTTTTTTAATTTCATCAAAATTTTCGAACGCGCAGAATACTGTAAGTGGCAGCCATATTAAAGTTTCTTTGCCAGCATCATCTTTAATAAAATGATTTCGTTGGTTATTAGTGTGGGAATTAATGTTGCAGCTGTTGCAGAAAATATACATTAACAGTAACGAAAGCGGGTTATGTATTTTTTCCCGCAATAGCTACGATGGTAATTCCTGTACTAACAAACACAAAAAGGCGTGGTTTTATGGTTTATATTTATGTCTGCATAAATAAGCATATAAAGTAGGGTTAAGTGCGTTAAATATTGTATTATTGAATGTTTCACTGGTGTAAGAGCTACTGCTCAACAATTTTCACGGAACCCCTCTGATTTTATCCATCAAAACATGCATATTTTTTTTGCCCACTAACCCCCTATTATCAATTCGCATTTTGATTCTTTGTAGTTTTGATAGTTTTTGATAGTCTTCTAACATTTTTTAAAGAGAAGTTTAATTCCAGATTATAAGTTTTCAGAAAAGGAAATATGCCATTCATTGTCTATGAAAAATCCCAAGAAGTCTGGTTTCCCGCCATATTTTCAATGCCTTGTATCTCACGTATTTATATGTTCTACTTCTTTATTTTGGTTCAGATAGTGAATACATCTAAATTAAAATGACAAAAATTGAAAAGTTAATTCAGTGGAAGTAAATACTCTTGAATAAACGTTAAGTAATGATACATTCAGTCACAATGCATATTTCATTACTTTGCAATGAAAAATTGTGTTATCTGTGTATTTTTTCCATCAATAAAAACATTTTAATTGTGTCCATCCCTGATTTTGTTTCAAAGTGCACCTTGAAAGGAAAGTAATTAAAGAGCTGAAACATGCTTAAAACATTAAAATCTTCATATAAGGAAGTTCCATATATGCATGCAGTTGCCTGATTTTAACAACAGAGCAAGTTGTTTCGAAAAAATTATGACCACACGAACGATTTCTTGTAAGGTACCTTGCTAAACAACAAAGCAACACATTTGGTTGTGTCTATCTTTCAGTTTGTTTTATTATCCTCATGTGCACCATTTTAAATAAAAAAAATTAAGAAATACATACCTAGCAGTTACTATAGCCCTACCTCTGCATCAAACTCGATAATATAATGGTATGCATAGTTCACAGAAACTGTACTTGAACTTTTTAAAATTAAACAATTTATATTTATCTAATAATTATGCGTGCATTAATTCAGTTATTGCTCTCATCAATACCAATGAATTGTTGCACGCATCAATGGAACCCATGGGAACAATGAAGACTTAATTATTTGCGAGAGTTAAGCCTCAGTCAGATTTCCCGGCCGGTGGCCGTAGACCGGTGGTAATCGGTGGTGTGAACGATGCCCCAACATCGGTCCTCATCGGCCAAGTAGTCCTCAACATCTTACACAGCGATAGGCATACCCCCGCCGATGATCGTATGGCGAGTGACTCCAGAGGGAATCATTTTTGACCGGCGTGGCACCGATTACCGGCCGGACATCGGATACATGTAGTTTTCACTGACCATCCTACAAAGCTCGGCCGGTGACGCTCATACATTGGTGAACATCATTCGTGCATCAGTCGATTATGGGCCAATGTTTGGTCGAACATCGACAGATGATCGGTCGATGTCTGTTGCCCACCACTCACCCCCGATGACCTCAGATTCAACGGAACTGGAGGATGCTCGGCCATACATCGGCCAATCCTTGAAAGATGTGTTAATGATGGGTTGCCGATGAGGAGCGATGTGGGGCATCGGTGGAGACATCACTGATTTTTCACTACAACTAATTTTCTCCCGATGACCCCCACCGATTCGCCCGATGGCCTCTGTCACCGTCCGATTACCATATGGGTGTCCGGCCGGCAACCGCACCATTTTTATCAAAAAACGCATCGGTTGCCCATCGTATACCCCATCGCTGGATAATGTGACTGATACTTTTGAGTAATGCCTAGGTCACATTTAAGCCGAAGGTCGGGCGACCAAATTTTTCTCGTATCGTCGGCTGAAAAACATGATTGGGCGACGCGGAGCAGTCACATTAATTCCTAGGAACACCCATAATTTTCAAAAATTAAATAATTCTATGTCGGCGAACAGTCACCGATCATCATTCGTTAAGCCACAGTTTGATTTTCACCGTCGGGCGATATTTACGAAAACCCAATTCCTAAATGTCGACAGACCGACGACCGACTTAACGAACTCTCTGCCGATGGTCGGACGATGATCGAAGGTTAGTCGATGGACTGTTCAATGACTGCTTCATTTTAAGGAATCGGCCACCGACGCAGAAAAAAATAGGAAAAAAATATTTAAAAAAAAAAAAAAACATGGCCCGACAGACACAAAATTGGTCGGTCGACGAAAAAAGAGGTCAAAATCGGGCAAGACAACGACCGATGAACAGCCGACTGTCGCCCGAAGAATCCTATTTTTTGCCTCAAAAACCGTCGGCCGTTGGTCCTTTTTGGAATTGTGACTGAGGTTTAACAAGAATTAAAGAGAGAAAGAGAGAGGGAGGGAGAGAGAAATGCAAGACATGGTGTGCGCGCAATTCAGTTGATCAGAGCAATGCTGAATTGATTTCCATTTGTTTTCTCGATCATCAATTCAGTTGAGCTCAGTTGAGCTCAACAATGTGGTGGAATTATTGCTTTTGAAAGCAAAAATTGATTCATGCATCGGTATAAACGATTTGTTGATCTTTTTATCTTTAGTTGTCTTACAACGATTTTGATGTAGGAATTAATGCGCACTTCAATTCTTTTAGGGAGAACAATAATTTGATTGAAGAGATCTTCATTCAATTTATCTAACTGGAGATGTCGCAAATTTAAAAATAGTTCCTTTTTCTAGAAGAATTGTTAATGATATTTTAATTCACTTGAAGAGAGCAGTAATTCAATTATCATAAATATCATTAATTAATTGAATTGATGTGTACAGTAATTCACTTGAAGATGGCAGTAATTCAGCCAATTCGCGTATGAATTGAAGTATTGCTCACTTCAATTAAAATTAATTAAATTGATGATATCATTTATTTATTTAAGAGTGCAACGTTTCTATTATCAAATTGACAAGAATTAGAGAAATTGGCAAATCAGCAAATACTCATACATGTATTTCAATAAAAATTGGCATATATGTGAACGATATCAATATACATACACTGTAATTTAGTACATCGATTTAATTTTGATAAACAATATTGTTATAGTTAATGGTAAATTTAGTTTATAAATTCCTCTAAAAAGCTATTCTTCCTCAATTTCTGAGTTGAATTAAATAATATGCTCTAATCACATCTTTATCCTTGTCATAATATTCAAATTTTATGCGATGCTTTATATTTGGCGATTCAAAGTAGAACGCAATGAAATTGTCAGATCAATATCATAATGAGAAAAAAAAATCAAGTACGACTTTGAAACCATGTAGCAGTTTGCCTTGGGATTGGGTTTCACATATAGATATCCACTTGTAAACGAATAAAACATATTTTATTATATCAGTATTTTGACCTCATTTAAAAGTAAAATATGTAGTTTCGAACTTTTTTGGAAATTATTGTTATTTTTAGTATACATTGTAATATACTTAATTAATAATTTTTAAAATAAACACTCCTTTTTGTACACTAGACCAAAGAACTCTGCGTCACAATGGATGTAGAAGACAATCCGTCTTCGCTTTTAGAATCGGAATCTGACAATTCTAGTCCCCAGGATCGGCCGGTATGGAATCGAAAAATAGAATACCTTTTATCTTTATTTGGTTACAGCGTTGGACTGGGTAATATCTGGAGATTTCCATATCTTTGTATGCGAAACGGAGGAGGTAGGTGTTTTATATGTTGTAGAATTGAAAAAGATTTGTAATATTAATGTTAATTGAATAGGACTTGAATAAAATGGGCTAAATGAATTTGTGCAATGATCCGTGAAAAAGCTAAATATATGCATGGACAGAAAGTATAAATTATTTCAGCTTTTATGAGGGAATGATTAGTGCCAATTAAACTTGACATTGAAATGTGAAGATAACGAACCAGGCCATTATCATTCTCAGATGTTGTGAGCAGGGCAAGAAGGCTTCTGAAAATATCAGAGTTGGGATTATTGTGCTTTTTAACATGGTATATTGAAAAGAATGGTAAAAAATATCTTAATTTGCGAAAGACCCAAACATTTCATAGAAAAATAAATCGAATGTTGAGATATACATTCTACAGGTGCTTTCTTGGTCCCTTTCTTTGTCCTGTTATTTTTCTGTGGAGTTCCTCTTTACTTCTTGGAAGTTTCTCTGGGACAGTTTGCTGGGAAAAGTCCAGTGGTAGTGTGGTCTATTTCTCCCTTATTTACAGGTAATACCATAAAATACTGTGCACCTTTTTTATGAATATTATTTTTTAAAAAAAGATGGATTAAGTCTTTATAAACGAAGACAAAGGTATTAATAATTGAAATCTGACATATAGATACACAGATGTGATATAACCTGTTTGTTCAGTTAACCGCATAATGAATGCTAATTATTTCAAAGTATTCTAATTTTAAAAAAAATGATGATAATTTCTTTTTGGAATTCATCTGATTTTTTTTATTTCAGCTTCGTACAATGGATTTTTTTTTTATCGAAATGAAAGATGTTCAAGACATTGAATCACATTTGCATCTTAAGAAATATTTATTCTTAAGAATTATGATAAGATATTGAAGGCTTTCAATATTTGCTTATTCTGTATGTGGTGTTTTAGGACTCGGATGGCTCATGATGATAATCTCCTTAGTGGTCTCGTGGTACTACAATACGGTCATTGCTTGGGTTATCTATTACTTTGTCCATTCATTCTTTCCAAATATCCCATGGGCCACATGTGATAACTGGTGGAACACAGAAAAGTGTATTGTCAGCCTCAAGGATAGATCAAGTTTAAACAACTCTCTTCCACTGATGAACCAGTCTTTGGTAGCAGCTGTTATTATAAGTCAAAACGAATCCCTCTACTCATCCAACGTGTCCTATGTCAGTCAGAATTTGACTTATAACACTGCAGCGTATGAATTCTGGGAGTATGTTTCTATTAAGAAGATTAATTTATTTCATGTTTCAGAGAAGATTGTATTGCAAACCGAAAGAGATCCTGGTCACGGCACCAAAACTATCACGTAATTTTTTTTTTATAAATTGTATACGCCATTTAGAACTGAATAGTTATAATTTGAAATTTTCCCATAACTTTTAGGTATAATGTCCTTAGGCGTTCTGAAGGCATAGAGTATCCTGGTTTGGTTCAATGGCACCTCGTTTTAGTTCTGTTTGCTTCTTGGCTATTGACGTTTGTATGCCTTCTCAAAGGTGTACATTCAGTTGGAAAGGTACACTTGTAGTGTTGATTTATGCTTGCATTATTCATACATTCTTGTAAACTGTAATGGGTTTTAAGTTAAATTCCATAAATTATATCTTAAATCAACACAACAGTTATCTGAACTACATGATACGAAGACTTTTTTCTTCAAATACATTGGAATCTTTCAGGAATAATTCGGATAATTTTCTTTCAAGTTTGCTATATGCAATTTATTTAAGGTTGTGTACGTGACAGTAACTTTTCCATACATACTGTTGACAATTATTCTCATCCGTGGCCTGACGCTTGATGGAGCTATAGATGGAGTACTTTTCTATTTGAAACCAGATTTTTCCAAAGTTTTAAACTTTCAAGTAAGCATTTTACGAAATGTGAATGTGTACGATAAAAAATTGCTGAACATTTTAGCGAAGAGCACTCATCATTTTTCATTAAAATACGTTGTCCACGGTTAACTAGACAATTCTCATACGTTCTAGCCAAATGGCTTAAACTACTTGTATTAGTATTTTGATATCTTGGGTATTTTTTAAAGATTTATTTCGTTTGAAGGTGTGGGTTGAGGCGGGAATGCAAGTTTTCTTTTCTCTTGGTCCTGCTTGGGGAGGACTCATCACAATGTCAAGTTTCAATAAGTTTAACAACAAGTGCATGAAGTGAGTATATCATGCGTATAATAAATGAACAAAGATTCGATCTATATAAAAACATTGACTTTTCTGATTTGTTTGTCGATTTTTAACAGGGATGCCTGGTATGGTACGTTGGCTGATGGTCTGACAAGCTTCTACGCTGGCTTTGTTGTCTTCTCTATTTTGGGATTTATGGCTCACAATGTCGACATGACAATGGAAGAAATTTCAAAATCAGCCACAGGTAATATTTTATATATATATATATATATATATATATATATATATATATATATATATATATATATATATATATATATATATATATATATATATATATATATATATATGTGAGATAAATGATCCTGACTGCTGTGTAAGTAAGTACATGTGTATTATATTTTGTCAGGACCTGGACTGGTGTTTATAGCATACCCAGAAGCCTTAACAAAACTCCCGATGCCACATCTGTGGGGGGTCCTGTTTTTCCTCATGTTGATTACTGTCGGAGTTGACAGCCAGGTAAGTAAATACTATTATCAATCTCTATTTATATCACGGGGAACCGTTCCCCCCATGATTTTTTTTTTACAAAATGAAATCCATGAAAGTAAGAATTTCTTCAAGGGAAATGTGTGTATATATATATATATATATATATATATATATATATATATATATATATATATATATATATATATATATATATATATATATATATATATATGTTTTTGTTTAAATTCATATTGCTTATTTTTATAAACCTTCATTTTCAGTTCGGAATGTTTGAAACTGTTGCTAGTGGGCTAGCGGACATATTCCCTAAGCAGTTGAATTCGAGAAAAGTCCAGACAACGGCCATTTTGTGTGTCGTTCTCTTTTTGCTGGGAATTCCTTTCACAACTAATGTAAATTTTAATATAATAAAAGCGTTTTAGTTTGTATTATCAAGACATCTTTATAGCATTTTCATATACATATACATGCACTCTAAATTCACTGATGGGGGGTTGTAATTTTCGGTGACCAGGAAATCACATTCCCAGGAACCAATGTTTTTCCTAAAATCAAGAATTTTGTTCCCACGACAATAAGTTATCTTACAGTGCATTCAATAGTAAAAAGGAAATACGAAAAGGCTTCAAACATCGTAATTTTCTCGCTTTTTGTTTGTCTTACAAATTTCGTAAACATACGTATAGTGTAAGAACACTCGAAATATACTAAATATCACTTTCTATTTTATGTCTAGGGAGGAATATTCATTTTCCAGCTGATAGACTGGTACGCTTCCACTTTCTGCATTATGTTTGGTTCATTCTTAGAATGTGTCGTTATTGCATGGGTCTATGGTAAGGAAAAGAACGTTGATACAAACTTTATACAGTGCATAAATGAATTTGAATTGAAATATGATTTTAACCATTTCAGGGTTGTAACAGAAATTTTGATACATCAATGCTAATGGTTACAGGTGCAGAGCGCTTCAGTCGAGACGTAGAGCTGATGATAGGAAGACGTGTCCCCCTCCCCATGAGGATAAGTTGGTGTATAGTTACACCATTATTTATGTTGGTAAGATGATATTAATAAAAAGAATTCATTTTGTTGTGTTGAGGGACATGTTAGTAAACTTTAATAACGAAGCCAGAGTATTGGGAGAAAATTTCAGTTTCAGATTTGTAGGAACACGAAAATTCCGTAAGTCCTGGTGAGACTACCCAGAAATTGCAAACATGCTTAACTGAGTATACAGTGAACTTCAATGAAGCTCTTAAGAACTTTTGTTAATGCTTACTACATACCAGTACGTATTTTTTTTTTATAATTCTGTCCATATAATTAATCTTTGGAACTATCACTTGTTCTTTGAAAGTATCAATAGAAAAAAGTGATTTAAAGTGTGTGCCCAATGTAAGGCTTTTTATGAATTATTTTTTCTCCTAATTAACAGAAAGAAATATAAAAGATTACTTTTCTGTCTTTGAAGGTGCTATTTCTGATGTCAATGATTATGTATGCCCCACCAAACTCAGCTAGTTATACGTATCCAGAATTCGCCATTGGAATCGGTCAGTTTTTCGCCATACTCCCTCTGTTACCAATACCAGTACTGATGATTTGGCAACTCCTTCGATCCAAGGGACCATTCACTAAGGTATCATGTAATTCAAAGTTGAGAATAATGGATGCAATGTACACGTATAATCCAGATTTACTGTATGCAATGTACATTATCTTAAATCGAAGGATAAGAAGAATTTGATCCTAGAATTCTGTTGCTTGCTCTTGTTTCTAAGTTTTTGGCACCACCTTAAGGTCTGGGTGAAGAGGAAAGATCAATTACGTACGGACATGTATGGTAGACTTTTCATCAACATTATTACATTTAGGGGCGAGCCAAAAAAATGCACATGTATACGAAATCTATCTATTTTGAATTTTTTCCCTTCTTAACGTTTTGAAAACTATCTTGAACAATTTCACACCCATAATTATGATGACAAATTATCCATTAATCAAAATTTTTATGACATCTGGATAAGGGGTTATGTACGGTGACGGAATTTAGATGACCATACCAGTACACCAAAATATTATAATATCGTTTGCTTTTTGTTTTAGTATATATTACACCATCTTCTATTGCAGAGGATAAAGACTCTTGCTCGTCCGGATTCCAGCTGGGGACCTAACAGTAAACGTCACTGGCAGACGTACAAAATGTATGAATATAAGGGTGGACTAATAAACAGAATCAAAGTGAATCTACTGGGAGATAATTAAAATTATAATGTATTTTAGAATATATTTATTGCTCTGCAGTCAAGCTGATGCAAAGGAAATATAGAAATTTTAATATTGTGTGGCATTTTATAAATATTTATTAAAGCAGCTATAATCTTATTAATAAAAGATAACTTTATTCTGTTTTTTCATAAGTCAGTAGAATAATAACATTTCACATATCACTATGATTTGTATATTGTAACATAGTGCCAAGTGTCATTTACAAAAAAGAAAGATATTTCTTACGTATTTGCATACTTGACATTTTGCAAAAGGATTCTATAGGTTGGGAGTAAAATCAAATCCAAGAATGTTAACTAAAGTTGATTACAATATCCAACATCATGAACATTGATCTTCCAAATACAGTTAAGTAATTGGTTTGCATGTAATTTCATTATTCAAACGAATCTAAGTGTGAATTAAATAGCCATTTTTGTAGATGTGATTCGTACAAAAATAATTCCGTAATTCTTGGAAAAGAGTATTAGGTATAAGTTATGCTTTTCGATATTTTTTGTCTATATTTATCGTTTGTATTCTAAATTTCGACCGTATCTGAAGATGATCACTATGTGTGGTTTTCCACTGAAGCAGCCATTTGCTGGCTCATTAGGTGTCTGCCACGAACAGTGGGTACATGTATATCGTACACTCCTTGACTAAGAATTTGTAACAATCATTCATGTAGATGTCACATCTAATTAATCAAAAACCTTGATCAAGTCCAATGTTCCTCAGCATAGAGTTTAGATCAAGGTACGAGATGGATCAGAGTTTTGCTGTATGATTATAGATTTTTCCACTACACTGAATATTACGGTGGTACATTTAGGACACGTAATTATTTTTTTTTTAAGATACCAGGAAATATTTATCTCGTGAAAGCGAAAAATTATCTCATGAAAACGACATAATATCTCGTGAAAACGACTTATTTTCTAGTTTTAACGACATAATATCTCGTTTTAACGACATAATATCTCGTGAAAATAACATAATATCTCGTGAAAACGACTTATTTTCTCGTTTTAACGACATAATATCTCGTGAAAACAACATATTAACTTGTGAAAACGACTTATTATCTCGTGAAAACGAAATAATATTTTGTGAAATCGACTTATTTTCTCCTTTTCACGAGATATTATCTCGTGAAAACGAGATATAATGTCATGAAAACGACTTATTATCTCGTGGAAACGAGAAATTATCTCGTGAAAACGAGATATAATCTTGTGTGAATTAAATTTTAGAAAATCACATTATTTCCCAAAATTGATTATTTTTCCCCAATTTCACTTACATACTTATAATATATGGATCGTGCTTTCTTTCATAACCAAGTATTTTTCTGCAGCTAGATTTGAGAAACTATTTCTACTGGTATATTGTATTGTTAGCTACATTAATCAATATCCTTCTGACAAGACAATGTGCTATCCTGAAATACTTATTATTGCCTTTTCAAATCTATTTGTTAGTGATTGAGATAGATGACAATAAATATGTTAATATAATGTTATATATTATCAAATAAAAGTTGCATTGAGCATGTACTAAGTTACACATCCATAGTTACATTAAAATTATACATTATTATATTGTATAACCCTGTACAACTTCAATCAAAATTTCCCCTATACCTGAGCTTAAGATACAGGTCAAGTTTGAGTTTCATTCCTGTTGATCAAATTAAAAAGAGTTATGACCATATTTGCCATTTTTTTTCAAACTGTTTTACATAACATACATTTGCTGAATATCAACGTTGGTTTGGATCTAGTCTCCTTAATGCGACATTTTTTTTTATCTAGGAGCTGTAGTTTTTGTATTCTAAAATTTCTAAATGTTTTTTAAATGATCTTTGAAACCAAAATGAAAGCATTCCTTAATGACATCCTCTCTTGTACACTCTTCATCCGTATTTGACAACGAATAGCAAAATACTAAATCAGGTTGTTTAATGTATGTAAAAAAATTTAAAGTCGAAAAAATATGTCGTTTTCACGAGATAATATGTCGTTTTCACGAGATAATATGTCGTTTTTACGAGATATTACCTCGTTTTCACGAGATAATATGTCGTTTTCACGACATAATATCTCGTTTTCACGAGATAATATCTCGTGAAAACGACATATTATCTCGTGAAAACGAGATAATATCTCGTGAAAACGACATATTATCTCGTGAAAACGAGATAATATGTCGTTTTCACGAGATAATATGTCGTTTTCACGAGATAATAAGTCGTTTTCACGAGATAAAAAAAATTTTCCTGGTATATTCAAAAAAATAATTACGTGTCCTAAAAGTACCACCGTAGAATGTGAAAAACCCGATTCTTCATAAAAAAGGATAATTTGTAAAAATATGTCGACATTAGTATGAAGATGTTTATGAGGTTACCAGGTTCCCTTTTAAAGCTTTGTTCCGGTCTGTCGTCTTGTCTGAAGCTACTGAAGTAATTTGATGTAGTGTGTCTTGCCCGGGTAAAGAAAACAAAATTTGTTTATCTATCAGAAGGTGTCATTCATACAGAGGTTTGAACTGGGTGAACTTCCATGCGGAAAAGTACACGAAAATTGCAGGCGTAGGAAAATAATGAGCGTATCAATAATTATTCAATTATAAGATCATTAATCGAATCATGAATATGTTGAAGATATTGCTTATTAAATTGTTGTTTCTCTCTCTAAAAAAAAGATTTAATTATTGAATCAACAATGTCATTTATTCAATTGAAGGGAGGAATAATTAATTATTTATTGAGCGCATTAATTGAAAAGACGCGCACAATTTATTTCAATTTAAGAGCGTAATAATTTATTTGATGCGCGCAATAAATGAATGAATTGCTGTCTTCGATGGAATTAGTGGGTATTAATACAATTGTTATCATTAATTTAATTAATGGGAGCATGTGCGCATCAATTAAGGATTGTAGATGTCATTAATTATTGAAGAGGTATTGGTATTCAATTGAATTGCGCGCTTCAAACGAATTGAGGATATCTTCAAATAATCAAAGATATGTTCAATTTATTTCAATTATTCAAGTTTACATTAATTTGGCACTTCGTTTATCCATACGAGAAATACCTGAAGTTTTAATCAAATACATACAAGGTACAATGTATATGTTGTAGTAGTTATAAATTATTGCAGGACTAGTACAGTTATTGCTCCCTTATTGTTTTAGATTTCAGACACCTTCCGTGTAGTTATTTCTTTGAAAATCAAACAAAGAAACTGTAATTATTTTCTCGAAAGTTCAATTGCCCCTTGTTGTATTCATGAAATGTGACCATGCTCAAAAGGCAATTTAAACAATACAAATTGTGAGCAGAATAAATACGACCTCTAAAAATAGAAGTGAGATCCGGAGCCTAGAGAGGTAAGAATCCCCTGTCGACTGATCACATCTGCCGTGTGCTCGTCGATCGTCATTGTATCGACCATAGAACTTGCGATATGATGTCTTTAAACGAGACTGTTGGTATTCTTGTTTCATCAACTTGTTTGTTGATAGCTTGCCTCGTTTTGTTCGGACGTAGAGCATGCTCTTGCATATTAAATATCAACTGGGAGACATAAACAGATGTGCAGTTGATATAATAAGCATAAAATTGCTACTTAAGTAAGGGAAGTTGAAAACAGAAAGTTGAAGTCATCACGTTTATCATAAAGTTTAGTTGTAAGTTTGTCATCAGTATCCAAATAGGAAACAGTTTTGTCTGTCTTTGGCGTCCATTATTTCAAAGGGAAACATCGAATCAACGTAGGAATGAAAATAGATATTGTTAAATTGATAAAATCGTCGATATATCTAAATGTCGAATTGAAGGCCACAGCAAGGAACTTCTTCTCTTAATGTTGAAGTTTTTAAATAAATTCTGCTTCAGAAGTTTGCTAATAATGGGACACAATTAGAACCCATGGGAAATCCAACAGATAGTTGGAAGACCTGTTCCCCGAAAACTACATAGATATTGCCAATGAGAAACTCAAAGATCTTTTTTTCAACCTCGGAGCACTTGTGTGTATAGAATCTGAATGTTTTTAACAAAATAAATTTGCAGATGACCTATAACAAGGTATGCAAATTTACGAGTTCCATTTTTATTGAAGAAGCAGATGACAAAGAGCCTGACCTTTAATCTATCGTTGGAAAGCTTGTGTAAAATGTTGAAAAGCCGCACGTTTAGATGGTAATGATTTTGGTAAATTTTTGCGATTTCAAATTTTCTAAACGTTCCTTTGAGTTTTTTTTAAATGTACATCTGATTAACATTATTTTTCGAATAAATTGTTGTACAGTACTTCTCAAGTTATATGATTTGTTATGTTAGAAATATGACACATTTGGTGAAACACATATTGAAATGCTGAATTAGAAAAGATAAATTAGAGGTAACCTCTAGAAGTAAAATATTGCGATGCAATAATTTGTCTGATTTTTTTCCTTTTATCAAATCTTCCTTGGAAGACGGTTAACAGAGTTGAAGTATTTTATAGTCTTCGAACTATGCACTTCCTCTCTTTTGTGATTGGTAGAAATTGCATGATGTAAACATTTTCAGTTATTTCATTGGTTGAAATGCTGTTCAGAGCAAAGAAAATAATTTTCTGTGATCTAATTTTCTACGACTTAACAATTTTTCAAGATTTTCAATCTTAAAAAAAAATTCAACAGAACGAACCGAGGAAAATGGCAATTATTGAGTCTAAATAACACTTTAATTTATAGAGCAATTATTATAAAGCGTTTCTATATTTTTATTGTAATCAGAAACGTTCTTTATCACATGCAAGCATTACAGCTTCAGTGTATTATTGTTTCACACCGTCTGTCTATTTTCGTTCAACTAGACACTTGGCTGTCTCCGTAAACCAGCAGAGTCAGAGTTTACGAGACAGCCCAGCGTCTGATTGAACGATACTAGTCTTTCCTATGGTTGGGCTAATGTCGGTAAAAAGCTGAAGGAGAAATACAAAGCCAAGAAATGCTCAAGAATTCGGCCTGATAGGTGTAGGTCAAATTCGTGTTTAAGGTTGTTGCAAAAGACGGCAAAGCTTTTTGAAAAAGCACTGCTTGTTAATAATCTTTACTCCAGTTTGCTATAAACCGTCTTCTTTTGAATTGTAGTATTAAAACTTTTTTAACTTGTCCAATTGTTATTTTGTTATTTCTAAATTCATTTCAAATCTTATATATCATTAGTTTGAAGAAAAACGTCATTAAGCTATCACTTGCATAAGATGTTTATGTCTCCCAACTTACTCATTATTCAAGAACATGTCTGAGTATGATCAATTTTAAAACTAAGGCAGGCTACTGACAAATAAATTGATGTTACAGGCATTTCAACAAGCTCGTTTAAAGTCAGCATTTCGTAAATTCTATGGTCGATATAATGACCTTGTCAGCAAATACAATCTAATTAAAGTAGATGTTTCGAATCCGCAAACGCCTCTCAAACAGGCGCTTGGTAGCGGATTCGGAACATCTAATTTTAATTAGATTGTAGCAAATGTAACCTATTATTTGGTTGTATTTTTTCTGACATAGTTCATACCAATTGTTAAGCCTTTGTTTTTATAAATTTAAATATTCCATCTACCTGATCAATACATATAGGGCTCACGCCGGGTGTGATCGATCGACACTGGATGCTTACTCCTCCTTATGCTCCTAGGCACCTGATACCACCCCCGGGGTTTTATGCTCTATTCACAGATTCGTATTGTTGTAGATTTTTTTGTTTGTTATTTTTACCTTTTTCACAGTACCAAAGTAAATTTATCAGAAAAACATCCAGGGTCAACATGGAGCCACGAAGGGTAACACCGTCGCAAGCCACAAGTCTTTTTGTCCATTCTGTTTGTGGAAATGATAAATATGGACACAGAAAACCTTCGCTGGCTACGATGAGTAACACTGTTGTAACACCATTTGGTCTAGAGTGGCATAGGAAATAATGTAGTGAATCAAGACCATTCCTTCAATATTATGCCTAAATTAGTTAAAGTTTATTTCATTGTTGGTATTTATTAGTAGAAACGTTCGTTCCTCCAGTCTATTATAAAGAACAAGGAACATTCCTATAATTCATCTGCCATATTATACCACCTACAATATTATACCATCTACTATATTATACCATCTACCATATTAAACCAGCAGTTGGGATCCTCAGGATAAGAGTTTCGGTCCAAAAATATTATTTTGAATAACCTTAATCATACATTAAAATTACATACCACTGTGAGTTATATCATGTAAATTTTGAATTTACTACGTGCATGGAGGTAAATGCAAAATTTACAACATGACAATTAGTTATCATGTTGTAAATGTTGTATTTACCTCCGTGCAACTAGTGAATTCAAAATTTACAATCTCTACCAAGAGTTATCGTTCCCGCTCCGCTCCACTTGTAGCGAAGCGTAATACGCCATCTGGTGAGAGATTGCAAAATTTACAGCATAATAGTTATATGGCTACCAAAAGTTTAACCTTTGCTATAAGTTGCCATACGGGGACATGTTTTGTTTTGGTTTTTTGCTGAATGTAGACGTTAATCACTCTCTACCATCGGCTCATACATTCACCTCTGTCGTTGACTCGCGTATATCACAGTGATAAGCACGAGAAATAGTGCATGCGTTTGTTTTAATTCATTATAATTAAATGCCTGCACTAATGTTCCTCTTTTAAGGTAGATATTTACTAAGTATATCTAGAACTATTAATTAAATTTGAAATAATCCTTTGAATGTCATGTTTTTTTACGTTATGTCAAAAATCTTGACGTGTATTGCAGAGGTGTCTGAGAGAGGAACGAACGACAACTCTGCATAGGAGATTGGACGTTAATGACAAACTTACAAACAAACGGGGTGATTTCTGCTTTTCGTCCCCCCCCCCCTCACATATTTATGTACATGTAATATTCCACTATCACATGCATATGGTGTCTATATGTTCCTAAATGGTTCGGTAATTAAACAGAAGCATGTTCAGTTTTTGTAACCGAAGCATGAGGCTATCTGTACCTTTACAGTTCAACATTAAAAAAATGTTAAAGATTAATTGTTAAGATATGTACCTTTCAAACACTCTTGTTTTAGCAATTTCGCAATTTTATGACCTTATAATTAATATAGTTTACAAATACAGTCTATTGTAGGGTCGAATTTTGAATGGCTTGTTTCATACCAATTGTTACATGTATGCCATTAATTGTTTTCCAATTTTAACTACTGTAACAGATTACTCCATTTACACGAGTACTCACAGCGGGATGCTTACTTGTCCTTGATCACCTGATCCCACCTTTGGTGTTTTCAGTGTTCTGTGTATTTCCTTGGTCTCCATTTGTATTTCTTATATATGAATTATGAAATCGGAGACATAAATATTATTGTCTCTGATGAAAATGATCACTGTGCATTCGAGGATCTAGAAAGGGGAGGGGTCCGGACCCCCCCCCTCCCCCGAATTGCACAATTGACCCATGAGATCAAGCATACTCAGTAATTGTAAAATACAAGCAGGGGTCTATACTAGTATATAGGTCCCTAATAGTAAATTACCATGTAATGAAATAATTATGAAAATGTGTTATACATTTAAATGAACAAAAATATACTCTGTATAAAGTCATTTACCCCATAGGCACTCCCCATCTTAATTGTTAAAAAATATACATCAACTATATTATAAACAGTAGATATATATTTTTTAACAATTAAGCTGGGGAGTGCCTATGATTTACCCGAGGATGACCCACTAATAGATGAGCATGTTAAGGCAGCACTAGCGTTTTGATATAAATAAAGATAAATTAAAATAAAAATTAAATAAGTCAAGAAATGTTTTATAAAAACTAATAGTATAAAAGCACATTTTCAGACATTGATCTCTTTTCGGAAAATGAGTTATTCTATGTAAAAATAACGAAAAAAACCGACCTTGGAACCTCCCCCCCCCCCCCCCAGGCACTCCCCATCTTAATTGTTAAAAAATATATATCTACTATATTATAAACATAACAAGTTTCATGCCTTGTTATGTTTATAGTATAGTAGATATATATTTTTTAATGTTCAATTAAGCTGGGGAGTGTCTATGTCCCCCCCCCCCTACCCCGGAAAAACGGACCCCTCTTAAAATTGTATCTGAAGAAAATTGACTAAGAAGTTTGTCAGCATTAAACACCATCTCCTATGAATATTTTTTTGTTTTGTTTTGTTTTTGCTTGTCAAAAAAAAAAGTTAAGAAGAATATTTATCAATAATATACATCGGGATCGAAAGCCAGAAAATTAAAAGAACAAAAACAAAAAGTGAAAAACAAAACACGCAGATTCGACAGTCGGACAGAAGCGACAGTTATTTTCGCAGAAACTAAAGAAGATGTAGGCCTATTCAAATAAAGTGAGTTCTTCTGGATAATTTTATTCTCCATCTAATCAAGATGGCAAACAAAGAAGCGGGTGTTACTTCTTCAACAAATGTTGGATCTCTGAAAAGAAAATTTAGCAATTCGGAGGAGGAATGTAATAATAAACGGGAAGGTGAACCGAGTCTATCTATTTTGAACTTAGATATTCCGTCAATTTCAAAAGACTGGGATGATCAGCTTTTACTGAACTTGCATGTAGAGGTGGTTCCGGGGGTTTTCACACCGTATGTTGTTTTTTCATCATATCCCGATTTCCTGGAAAATCAGAAGAACAAAAGAAGTGAACTTATAGCCATGATGAACGACGCACTCTCGGAGCGGAAAATTTTGCTAGATTGCTATAATCATGCAATGGAAAATATAATAAATCTTGATTATGAACATATTGACCATGTTCCAGTCTACAGAGTAAAGGAACTATATGAAAACACAAAGACCCTGAATAAATTGGCATGGAGGGATTGGAAGAAGCAGTTGACAGAGAGTGATTTTAAAACCATCAGGGGATTAAAAGAAAAATGTAGAAGGTGATCTTCGGTTGTAACTGTCCTCAGAGTCTTAACGCATCTTTTAATCCTGGCCCCACCCCACCCCAAAAAAAAATATTCTCAAGAAACCAAATACATATTTTACAATTTTAAAGGTACATTGAAAATTCAATTAAGAAATAATTCCTGCATCAAAGCAAGGCCATAACTAGACTAAAATTTTTAGTGAGACAAGAGATCTGGGACCACCCAAGTCACAATTGGGTCCAGGGAAGTGTCCTGATGGTGCTTCTTAGGGGGAGGGGGTCTAGAAACCTGGGTTTTAGCGAATCAAAAACTTAATATTTGAAAGTTTTCATGTTTTGAATTATCTTTACATGTCTTCGAAACAATAATGAAACACCCGGTGAAATGATTGATTTACAGAAATTGAAACGAAAGTTGAACAGTTATTGAAAGCATTAATTTATTACAAAGACACATATAATGAATTAAAGATCAAAGTAAAACTTTATAACTTTCCAGAAAACTCTAAAATTTTAGTGAGGCATTTGCCTCACTTGCCTTAATGGTAGTTAAGGCCTTGCAAAGGAATTTACCCCAATAGTTGAGATTTTGTTGGCAAATAAAAACCGAGTCTGAGGGCAAGGTTTTTATTTGCCAAAAAAATCACAAGATTGAGGGGCCTCTTGTTTTTAATTCAGACTACAGCAAAAAGTGAATGATTTTCTATGGCAGCTCCTGTACATAGTAGATAGAAGACAGCTTCCAGAGCCAGAAGAATTATCAGAGGGAATGTTTCAAGAGCTTTTTATGAGATTTGCTAGAATATTTGAATTGGGTCTAGTGTAAGTCATGAAAATTACTTAAATACTTAAGGACATTAGCAAGGTTCCTGGTTTTCCTATAGCATTTTTCAAGAACTCTTGAGTAGGTGTAATGGTAATAAACATGTTATATTCTGGTACATGTAACCCACTAAGCCACCCTGTCTTTTTAAATTTTGTCAAATCAATGTTTTCACTGTACAATGCTAAATGCATTTCCTATGTAAAATGTTTATAAAAAGGAGTTACATAATTTTTCATCATAAGATTTCTCTAAAACCCATTTATTTCATAAAGTTTATGTATATATTATTGTATCCTCATTTCCTATGACATGTACTGACTTTATTGGTTTTCACAGTGTAGAGAATTCTTCACTGGAGATCACTCTTAATCACAGTTTTATAAGTGAAAGAACCCATGAATTAAGCCTCTTTTCTCCGGATAACCGTGACTTGCCAATGTCCTTAAGATGAGAAGCCATATTCTTTGCATACAAAACTGGTATAAAGTACCTTCATTGACAGCATATTGCTATTATATATGATAATAATTATATAAATTTATCTTTTTTTACTTTACCATACATTTATTTACATCTGATATGATTTCATGTTTTTCTCCTGATTTTGTTGTAAATATTCACATGATTTATTTGTGTCTAGAGGTGCACCGAATGTTGGATGTTACACTTTTAAAGTCAATGGTAAAGAGATTTCCTCAGTCCCTGATGCTTTGGTCATCAATCCGTGTAAAAAGAATTCACTGCTGGCAGTTGTTAAGGTACCACATAACATCCAAATAAAAATCTTTAAATGATCTTATAGTGATAATATCACTAATACATTGATTCTTTGAAAATCTTCTTCTCTGCTCCTGGGTATTTAGCAGACAAACAATTAAGTGCATGGATCTTATAAGCAATGTGTTTCTTCCAAAACTGTGAAATCCATGGCCCCAGGGTCAGGGGATAGGCTTTAATATGATCCTGAATGTAAATTTTACTCTGCTTTAAGAAAAGTTATTCCCCTTGGTAATTTACCTCTGATTGTAATTAATGTAATTGATAGGTACATGTAAATTGAATAAAATAATTATTTCTGAGGGAGAGGAGGGTGATGGGATTGCTGATTATATATTATCACCAGACTATTGAACTGTTATTTAGTTAGTCTGTCCTCATTGTCTTATATTTTCATCTATCAGTTTATTTTGTTTTATTTAAAAGCAAATGTTGTATAAATTGTCATTCCATGGATCCTATACAGGATTGTATTATACTCAGGTGACCGTAAAGAACCTTGGGCCTCTTGTCTTCAATATCATGAAATAAGTAGATATTGTTATGATTTGTCTTTGTTATGGTGTCCGGATAGGGCCATTTGCAAAAGCTCAGCAGCACATTCAGAAAAACATGCCATCTCGCTAACACACAACACGCCATCACAATTATACAAAACACGTCATCGCACTTATACACAACACGCCGTCGCTCTAACACGCCATCATGCTAACGCAACTTAACACGCTGTCGCACAACTCACTAACACAACTTTGTGACAGCGCGATGGCGAGTCATGTGTTAGCACGACGGCATGTTGTGTGTTAGCCCGACAGCATGTCATGCGAACTTGTGCTAGCGTGTCGGTGTGTTGTTCAATGATGTGTTAGCGCAATGGCATGTTGTGTGTTAGCGTGACGGAGTGTTGTGTGTCAGTACGCGCTTTTGAGCTTTTGCAAATGGCCCTATCAGGACACCATACTTTGTTTATGTAGTTTTATTAGATTTATTTTGAAAATGATAGAAGTTACATTGAAAGAAATTTCATTATCTTGTGTGTTTTTAGCTCACCTGAGCCGAAGGCTCAAGTGAGCTTTTCTGATCAAAGAGTGTCCGGAGTCCGTTTGTCGTCTGTAAACTATACATTTTTGACTTCTTCTCAAGAACCACAGGGCCAATTTTAACCAAACTTACCGTAAAGCATCCTTGGGTGAAGGGGATTTAAATTTGTTGACAGGAAGTGCTTCGCCCTCTTTCAAGGGAAGATAATTAAGAATTTGTGAGAATTTGGTGGCATTTTTAAAAAATCTTCTTTTCAAGAACCATTGGGCAAGAAAAGAAACTGATGTGGAAGCTTCATTACATACTCTAGATTCAAGTTTGTTCATATCATAACCCCTGGGGGCAGGGTGGGGCAACAAGAGGGTGTCGAAGTTTTACATAGGAATATATAGGAAATGTCTTTAAAAATCTTCTTCTCGAGAATAGCAAAGCCATGATTAGTCATAATATAAAAGAAGTATCCTCAGGTAGTGTAGATTCAAGTTTGTTCCAATCATGACCCCTGGGGGTAGGGCAGGATCACAACAGGGGGGTCAAAGTTTACCGTAGGAAATATCTTTAAAAATCTTCTTTTCAAGAACAGCTAAGTCATTATTAGACATATTAATAAAGAAGTATCCTCAAGTAGTGTAGATTCAATTTTGTTCAAATCATGACCCCTGGGGGTAGGACGGGGCCACAACAGTGAGTCAAGGTTTACATAGGAATATATAGGTGTAATGATTAAAGGGTATTTGAGTATAATGCATTGAAGACTTCAAATAGTGGAATGACCTGACAACTCTTAGAATGGACTAGCCTAAGGGAATATATGGCAAAGCTTTGGGAAAGTCAGGCATTTAGAAGGTAGCTGAAGAAGTTGGATAGTGACTCAGCAATAAAGAAGTTAAGGTATTCCATCCTAATAGCAAAAGATTCAGTGAAATTGAATACATAACAGATGTGTAGGTGTTGAATACTGAGTATATTTAGACATAATTCCCATTTATTACTATTAGCATGTAAGGTCTGATGTGTCCTAATTTATGACCTTGAATTTTGGTAAGAGTAATCTCCTGTTTTTAATTATTAAAAAAAAAATAAATTTTAAAAAACTTATCTGTTAAAAAAAAATTGTTTTCAATTGTCATTCTATTTCTAATGTGTTTTAGTGCATTTTTCCACTACAGTATTTATTGATATTCTTATTTGAATTTTTATTTTTAAAACATTGCTCTATAGACTTCAATGCAATCTTTATCAAGTACTTATTGCGTAGTTAATTACATTTTTGAAACTTTTTCTTAGTAAATCCTTTTCAACTGTAAATATCAGAGTATTATGTATGTGATGGACATTTAAGGATAGAGGATGGAAAACCTTAAGGGTAAAAGCAAAATAAAAGTATGAAAGTTATAAACACCAGTGACAAGTATCTTAGGGAATTGATGTTAAGCTCTGGATGTAGTAAATCTGAAGAAGATTAAGATGACTCGTTCTTATCTATCAATGGGAACCTAGGGGAGAAACACGGTGCAAGCAGTACCTTACCCATTCCCCATCTCCAGATAGAGAAAATTTAAATATTGTGTGATATACCCTCGGACAGAGCTGTCTTAATAATCATTCAAATCATTAACTTGGACAGAGTAAAAGGAAAACCTATATATCCCTTGTAAGAATCTGATCATACACGTTACTTGGGAAATTTATGTCTTTGAAATCTTCTTCTCAAGAACAATTAAGCCATTATTAGTCATATTTATACAGAAGCAATTGTAGAATTAAGTTTGTTCAAATTATGGGCCCCCAGGGGTTAGGGGCACAACAGAGGGTCAAAGTTTTGCATAATAATATCTTGAAAAAATCTTCTGTTCAAGAGCAGCAAAGCTTTGATTAGTCATATTATTATAGAATCATCATCAGGTAGTTTAGATTCAGATTTGTTCAAACTTACGGTGGATAGGGCGGGGCCACATTTAGCAATCAGAGATTTACATAGGAATACATAGGGAAAACAATCTTTGAAATTCTTCTGTTTAAGAACAGCAAAGCCATGATTAGTAATATTGATACAGAAGCCTCCTGAGGTAGTGTAAATTTAAGTCCCCCCTTTAAAACTTTTCAATACTGAACTGAGTTCTGCTTCTTCCTAACCACTGTGCTCAGGCGAGCTTTGTGGCCAATGGGCCTTTTTGTTTTTTGTCTTTGACCAATACAAGTCTGAATACAATATATGTAAATAAGTTACTAAGATGTGTAAAATTCTTGTCTCAACCAAGGTTGTACCTTCGTCATTGATTAAGTATATGTAAACTTCTATCTGTTTATGTTGATTTTCAAAATTCATTGAAGGTTACAAAGACTTATAAGAAAGAAATTGATTTAGAAGCACAGAAAAAGATGAGAAAGGTCATCAAAGTGCAAAACCCAACTGAGCATGTGGACACTAATTTGAAATGCCAGCACATTGGAGATATACTCTCAGTTCTACGGTGTTCCTTGTTTGGACCAACTGGAATGTTTGGTTTTGTAGTTCAAGCAACAGAAGTTAGTTAATATAATTCCACTTTTTTTTCAACTTTATACAGTTTGGTACCAATAGTTGCTTTATACAAAGAGTTAATTAAAAGATTGAAGACACAAGTTGTGAAAAAAAGAACAGTTTGCTTAATTTTATATGGATAACCCCCCCTCCCCCCAAAGAAAAGGGGGTAAACTGTTTAACCCTTGTGTGTCTGTCTATCTGTCCCTAACAAATTTTTGTCACAGATTTCTCAGCAACTACACATATTCTTTGTAGATGCTTGAAACTCTTTGTTTTGGCATGCCATGTGATGGGATTAATTTTTGTATGAATCAGATGTCAAATTCCTGTTCATCTCTTTCTGTACATTTTTGTTCACAGTTTTCTCAGCAAATACTCTGAAATCGCAGATGCTTGAAATTTTAGCACACTCTTTCTGTAGGCATGCCATGTGGCGGGATTCATCTTTGTACGAATCCAATGTCAACTTCCTGCATCTGTCCATACAAAATTTCCCTCACAGTTTTCTCAGCAACTACTCATGCTTGAAATTTTAGCACACTCTTTGTTTAGGTGACTGAACTGGTGTATATTCACATGAGAATGTATATTCACATCAGAGTGGGGGTATTACTAGAAAGCATTGGCTCACAGTCTTCTTGTTACATAATCTTTTTTATCTGTTTATTTACAGGTAACTGTTGTAGCTTTTGCGACAGATAAAAATTACATCCAGTATATCAAAACAGGACTATTCCCTGAACAAGACTGTGCCACAGTAAAATACAGTGAGAAGTGTAATATTTTGTCAAAGAAAGGAAGACATAAACTTGTGAAGACTTTTCTTGATATGGCAACTCTGATGAAATACATGTAAATTATTGCCTGTGGTTTATTTACAATTACTATAATGTTCAACATACCACTTTTATTAAATTTCAATGTGATATAAAACTGTTTTTATGCATTAATCCAAAGTGATCTTACAAACCTGCTAAGGAAACGTGTGATTCAATATTGGATCATAACAGGAGCTACAGAAGATAAACCCATTCATGTCAGAATTCCATTGTATCCGACTACCTGATGTTGTGCCTTTATATTCCTATGTTGAATTATGCCCCCCTTCAAAGAAGGGAGTGCATATTGCTTTGCTGCTGTCTGCCGGTCTGTTTGTTGGTCCACCAACAGTTTCCGTTCATTTTCTTCACAGAGGTTGCACATACTGATATAAAATTTGGTCAAGTTATGGTCTACTCATGTTTTCTCACTTTGACCTTGATGAAGAAAGGGGTCAAGGTCAAAATTTTGGTGCAGTGCATCTTGTATCAATGTCTTCTTACTATGTTCCAAGTTTGAAATCCTAATATTAAAGGGTTCTCAGGTTATGGCTTGGACTCTATTTTGATGTAAAGGATTGACCTTGACCTTATAAATTGGATCAAAGCCAAAAGTTTTGGTGGTGTGCATCCCTCCTTCATACCACCTCTGCATACTCCAAGTTTGAAGTCTTTATAAAAAGGATTCTTAAGTTATCAATCTGTTGATAATTCTGATAATCAGTTATGAAAAAATTCTGATTGCCTATCACTAATATATACTGTATAGCAGGATTTTTTTAGCAGGGTGCTAATTAAAGCTTATTTATTTGGTTTTGAAGCAGTCACCTAAAATTTTAATCAGTAAATTTGCACCCTTAAGTTATGGATGGGTATTGCCAAAAATTTTGTATCGTGATATATCACAATTTTTTCACGAATATCACGATAATATTGTGATATTTCTACACTGAATTTTTACTACAATTTCAAATGAATTTTAATAATATTTCTTACAAATACGCTGTAAAACATAACTTCACTTTTTTTCATTTTTATTTATATAATATAAATCATGTATGGATGCTGTAGTTTCACTTTTTTCAACATTTTTTAGACTTCCTGTAAGTTTTATTTAATAGTTCAAAGAAAGAAATGAATAATTTCTGGAATTTATAATTATGTACCAAATACGGGTATTTTAGTCTCTGTACCTCCGTATCACGCAATAAAAAATCACGATTTACCGGTATACCGATATAATTTAATTTTGTTTGTATTCTAGCCTCTGATTGGTTAATATCCAAAAGGAACACAAATTATTTCTGTATAACCTGGTTTGGTATGGGGACACACCCCCTTGACAATCAGCTGAATCATCTGTATCCATACAATCCTCTCGTTTCCAGTCCTCGGGATTCATGGAAAATTCCAGATTTAATAAATGTACCTTTAATTTCAAACAATGATTCGATCTTACCACATGTAACCAAACAACATGGCTGCTAGGCCTATGTATCAGTTTTTACCTCCCCTCGATTCCCATCACTTCCGTTACTTCCGTTACTATGGTTGTATTATTGAGCGGCAAATTTGAACTAATAAAAAGTAACGAAATTTTACACCCATAGTTATTTAATGATTTTAAAATTAAATTATAAGGAATGACTCTAATTCTTGGCCAAATTATTCGAGTATAACCTGGTTTGGGTCAGTTTACGCTGTTTTATAATCCGCTTAACGAAAAGTTAACTTTGATCTGTATGCTGTTTAACAATGTATCTTTCAACTGGTATTAATTTTACTCAAACTTTTGTGTGAATTGGTATCAAATGTAGATTACACGTACTGAAAACTCATCTAAAAGATGAACTTTCTTTCTTTTAAAACATCATTGAACTGTGTGTCCGCCAAAAAAAAAGTTCAGAAAAAATTATTGACATACCTTTGAGCAAGCAAAATGCCAAATTTGCCACTATATGATATATATATATATATATATATATATATATATATATATATATATATATATATATATATATATATATATATATATATATATATATATATTGAACTTCGGTATTTGGAACACTGATATCTTGTATACCCTGGATTGGAAGTCCCAACCCCTTATCTTTTAAGTATTTTAACCTGGATATCTCGGAGTTTTTTCTCGGTCAAATTGAGTTTGAGATAACAAGGTTTGACTTTATATACTAATCCATGTATTCTTCTTTTTTGGTATCATTTGTCCTTCACATTATCTATGATTTAAAGGGGATTGTCAATTGCTTCCATCTCGAATCTCCAATTTGATAATTAGCAAATAATTTAAAAGTCCCATAACGATAAAAATTTCAATCGATTAAATTTTTGAAAAATAATCTCACTTCAGATTATTCTCTTTGGCAATTTCTAGTTTGTGTTGTAGCAACTTCAAAACATATGATGCATTTATCTACCTTTATATTTAATCTCGCTGTTTAACCTATAACGAATTCAGAAGTTACCACTGAGATTTTTAAGAACTATAGTAGTTTATAAACATGCATAACTAATAATGAAATAACAAAGAGGAAAACTTTATTGTAAACTTAACCTTGTCCAAATGTACTTAATGAAGAAAACCATGTATATTAAATCTTTTTAAATCTGTTGAAAACTTATCTAAGAGTACTGGGGTACATACAAACTAGATCAAAATAGGTAGCAATAGTGTAACTGCCAATGTAATTAACACAAAAAACCGAATAAAAATTACTTCATTTCATAAAATACAAGCATTGTTATTCTAAAAGTCATCAGATTCATTATAAAATTCCAGTATCACTCCATATTTGAATTAGTTCACTTATTGGCCATCTTTGTACAGAAGGGAATCAGTAGCACAATCTTTCAGAGACTTTGAATATACATCCCATTTACTTGCAACAAGTTGTCTAAAATTTGATTGACACCTTTCAAATAAGTAAGATTTTGCCTTATTAAATCCAGAACAAAACATTCTGTAATGTAACACCATCCAAAGTATGCACTATTACCCCGGGTATGAGTTTCACCCAGGAGAGTTATCTGGACAATCTAAATTGAATTTAAAAAAAATTGGATTGCTACAGAGAAGAATATCGTTATCTGAGTCAGACATTATTATCTGAACCTTTTCTGGAGAAATCACAATATTTAGCACCAAGTGGTTCGAAAACTCGGGTGTCCAATGAAAAAACAATCGTCTGTGCAATGGCTCGAGTGAACGCGTGCGCTGGTGTTTCTAGTTGGAGTTCCATTTTCCCATCAGGAGATTCATCATCACTCTGGATATCTAAAATTATATAAGATACAAACTGGTCAAAAGTTATATACATGTACATGCATGTTTAATAATAAAATGAAACAGAAAATGATCATGTGTTACATTTATATCACTCTTGGAAAATCTAAACTAATAAAACTTTTATTTCAAACCCTCAGTTTAAAGAAACAAGGATACTGAATACAGAAATGCTTTGAAAAAGAAGGAGAGAAATCAATGCATCTGAAAAATGACAGGAAATAAAGCTGGGAATTTCAGTTATCTTCAAATTTAATTGTTCTAGTGAAGAGATGATCATCAAAATCAACTAGAGGACATCATTAACACTGTGGTAAAATGAAGTCTGATAAAGATATAGACTCTTCTGATTAGAATATGATAAAGAGCTACATGTGATATTTGCCCCCACAAAAGTCAAATTTTAAAAATTTCTTGAAATGTGCTGAATTGTATGTATGTATATATTGTTTGAAAAATCTAAATTAACAAAAAATATTATAGTTTCGAAGTAGGTTATTGACAATTTTTGTTTCTGTGATGTCACAATGTATTATTTTTTGAGGAAGGGGAAAAATGGACAATTTTTTTTTTTTAAATTTTTACTATAAAATTTATAGAGCATAGATCTACTCCAGAACAATTTTCACACATTTCATTGATATTATCATTCTACACATTATATTAAAACATCATGCGCGGATCTAGAAGGGGGGGGGAGGTCCGGACCCCCCCCCCCCCGGAATTTGCAGAGGTATTGAAAGTATATCCCCCACCCCCGGAAAAACGTGGACCCCACCATCACGAAATAGACATTTTTCACGTCGGGAAAAAGGATCCCCCTTTTTTCTTGCTTGTCAAGAAATTTTGTGTGGTTTGAAACGTTCGGGGAAGTAGTTTAGGTTTTTTTGTTTTTGTTTTTCTGCTTGTCATTAATTTCTTTCATAAGAGAAATCTAAAATGGCTTCCTGTCTAGGGTTGGATACCGTTAAGGATGAAACGGTACGATACCATACCGGTATTTTTAAAACGATACGGTATTTTTAACGATACGGTACTATACCTCGATGAATGAGAATGAGGGCTCGTTTTATAACAAATGTGCTTTCACCAATCTTCAACCATTCAATGATATAATCTAAAATGAGCCTATAAACTATGTTATATTTCAATCTTTTAATAAATCATCAACAAAACAATTAATTGAATCTCAAACAAATTAATCTAACTAGATACAGCTGACCGCTTCACCCGGTTGCCACTTGCCAGGACTAGTTTGATCGCACTTTACGACAAAACATTAAAAATGGATAGAGATGCACATCACATTTTTGCGACATTTTGCATTTTCTATTTACAATTATTATCAGTTTTTATAAATGAAATTAAAACACGATTAATGTGAATGTTTTTTTTTTATTTTTAAATACACTAGACAAAATTGCTAACGCACCACCTAAATAAATTAACATTTTTCTTTTCAAAACTTGTTTATGAGGTTTTTGATATATAATTATGTTACTTTAGTATAAAATGAGACATTTAAATCCTTTAACTGATAAATAACAACAATGTTTACTGAAGCGTAACCACTTCATAGAAAAAATTAAAATCACATTCATACTTATTTGGTGGAATTAATTTCAATTTTTTTCTTTGTGGTTGTGTTCTTTATGTTTGTACTAATTAAAAACTCAGAAAAAAGTTACACCGTATGCGGCGTTTGACTCTAGAAGAGCGTGCTAAGGCAGCCAGTATGGTGTCTGCAGGGGGGTCCTTTGAAGAAATTTGTAAAAAATTAAAAGAATTAAATGATTATGAATTTCTCTGGTGAAAAATTGTTGAAAATGAATTAACGATCATAAAAATGTTTAAAATAGATATCGACGGCATTAAGTGAGCACCACACAATAATATCAAGATTGTTCCACAAAATTGGGGCAACCGGAAGTTGGGTGGATTTGGTAGGGACACCAAGGCACTGGATGACTACTAAGCGATATGGTTGTCAATCAGGGTATATCATTTGATTTTTAAGTGGAAACTGCTCCCATCGCAACGTCACGGACCACCATCGGAAATCACCAACTTCATATCTTGGCAAAAACGGTGCCAAGTACACGTCGGGAAATTGGTTTTCGGACAAGAAGGTCCTTTAAGGTCTTGACATGACACCAAGACATTTTTCAGTCCAACTGTTTTGGAAAAGATGGCATATTTTATATACTAGTACCAATCAGGAAAATGATCAATTCACAAATAAGAATAATAAGTGGTGCGTTAGCAATTTTGTCTAGTGTATATGTATTGATTTACCTCGAATATCGGCAGTCAAAAGCAAGTATCGTACTAAGCATCCATTTCGTTAAATAGCCTACCCTTTCAATGCGCGGAGAATTTTATTTTAGCGAGTCTGGAATCTCTTTCTTAAAAATCATTTTGAATGTATTAAAATGTTTCAAAGATTGAGAAATACCGTTATTAGTACCGGTATTAAATGAAACGGTATTTTACCGGTATTTTTGAAGTAACTATTCGGTACGGTATTGGTACCGAGTACCGGTATCCAACCCTATTCCTGTCTGATATGCGCGATATACATCTTTCGAACGATAGAGACAGGCAATACCAGTCTAAAGAGAAATCCCGTCCTTTAACACGGTCTTCGTTTTCTTTTATATCTTAGAACTTCATATCGACAAAGACGTCTGTAAGTGAAAAGCTCTGTGTCCCATTGCATATTCTCTAGCTTGAGCAAGGCGTCAAATAATATATATAGATAACATACGCCAACAGTAGGCTGTAACATACGGAAGCGTATTAGGGCTGCAGCAGTATCTTTTATTAATTTGTTTTAACAAATTACTAATTTGTTATAATAAATTATCAATTTGTTATAACAAATTATCAATTTGTTATAACAAATTATCAATTTGTTAAAACAAATTACTAATTTGTTGTAACAGATTACTAATTTGTTATAACAAATTATCAATTTGATATAACAAATAATCAATTTGATATAACAAATTATCAATTTGATATAACAAATAACTAATTTGTTATAACAGATTAGTAATTTGTTATAACAGATTAGTAATTTGTTATAACAAATTAATAATTTGATATAACAAATTATCAATTTGATATAACAAATTATTAATTTGATAAAACAAATTATTAATTTGTTATAACAGATTACTAATTTGATCTAACAGATTAATGATTTGTTTTAACAAATTAATAATTTGATATAACAAATTGGTAATTTTATATAAATTTAGTAATTTGTTATAACAAATAAGTAATTTGATTTAACAAATTACTATTTTTGACAAAATATGAAGGTGTATACAGATCTACGGAAGCCAGATCAGATCAGAAATCTTATTTTTATTTGGTTTTATGTAAACGTAAAGCATAAGCTTTGGAGAGCTTTTGATCACTATATTAATATGGATTTAGATCAATTAGCAACTTAGATTAAAGCACTTTATTTTTGGTTTTATTCTTACCGAAATTGCAGGGTTTTTTTTTTAAATTTTGTTTTGTTTTGTTGTTGCTTTTTGAATAAATGTCTCTGGTAGACAATTAAAAGAAATGGTTGCATCCCAGAGATTATGTAGAGGAAATACAGAATGTTGGATCCTTCATATTGAGAAAAAATTGAAGTTCCGGACAATTAAATATGATTTCAACGTCGTCCATTCAAATTAACACTTTTTTCCAAAGTCAACGAAGGGGTCAAAAGGGGAGATGACCTATTTTTTTCCTTCTTTACACGTGAAATATTTTGTGTGTATTGTTATAACAAATTATATTGCTTAACGATTTCTTGTAAAATACATGAGTAGTCCCACATAAGGCAACCAGGATACAAATTACAAATGTATTTGAAGAAACAACTGTCAAAGTTTTCAGCCAATAATAAGTTATGAAGGCTTAAGTGGGACTTCAACGGCTTTTTCCAAAAGGCACGTATTTTGATTATAAAAATTACATACATACATGAAAAAAATAACACAAATTATCTGATTCCAAATTTTAGCAAGTACTACCCACTCAAGAATATTGTTTATTTTCGCTCTCAGAGAAGGATATTACAGAGTGTTTATCATTTTTTTCTGTGATAAATCTACAAATTCATTTTTGTCAATGTTGCCCTTACTGCCCCCATGTAAACTGGGGCCAAGGAGGTTCACCAGAGGAGCAGATTCAGGTTTTTGTATTAGGAACGATGGTTTAGTTTAAAATGTATTGATTATAAATAAACTGGATTGAACAGTAGGCATAAATGCCTATAATACTCTCCCCATTTGTCCAAGTACATATATGCATAAAATGTAATGGTACATTCAAAAATTGAAAAGCAGTACGTAAAGTAGATCATCATTTGGTACATGTATATAATGAATCGAGGGGGGGGGGGGCACGGAAGGACAAAATTCAATTAGAGCTCCTAAGAATAAGCAATGAGGAACCAAAGAATTTGATACATTGTATCTTTATAACAATAATGTTTGACAGTGAAAACTCAAAGTGCAAAAAGATGTAAATCCAGTTTAACATATTAGCCAAAAGCTGTAGCTGCAGAGCTTATATATTTATTGTTTTCAAAAATCCAACTTATAATAAGATTTCTGATCTGATCTGGCTTCCATAGATCTGTATACACCTTCACTTTATCAAAAATAGTAATTTGTAAAAACAAATTACTAATTTGTTATAACAAATTAGTAATCTGTTATAACAAATTACTAATCTGTTATATCAAATTATTAATTTGTTATAACAAATTGATAATTTGTTTAAACAAATTAAAAAAAGATACTGCTGCGGCCTTAATACGCTTCCGTAGTAACATGATTGACCTGTGAGACAATATGCCAGAGATCGAGTGAGACCGCGCTCACATCTACTTTCAGTTTCTATTTCGAAACAACAGTCGTAACTTCTCGGGCATTTAGTTAAACAGATTATGTCGTCTGCAGTTGATTTGTTTGTACATAATAAAGCGATTTAGATTTATGTGAATATTGCCACTCTTTAACGCTAACATATTTTCTGCCTCTCCATACTCATTATATTTAATAACTTTTCATAACGAGGTTTCTTTTTCATTAATCTTATTCAAACTAATGCGTAATTTTTTTCCCCCACTGCATTTTCCAGACGAAGAATATGATGGACGAAGGGCGTCACGAAAACGGCAAGTATTGTACAATTCAAGTGAAATGCTTCTTTGTTGTTTCATCACGGATTTTATTTATTTATTATTTTATCATTTAGCTTTATTGATTTTGTGAGTGATCATCTATGATTTGTTTCACAGAAGTCAGAACTGATGTGAAGTTACTGCTAGACTGTTTGAAATGCCAAGTCAACAATCCTACTGCAGTAAAACAGGCCCTTCTAACACTTTCTTCGATTTTCAGTGCTTGTGGTAAGTATACACCCAATCTATTCTGCACTGGAAAACAAAGCCGGAATCGGATCTAGAGACTTTTCCAGTAGTGGGAGCTGGTACTCAACTAACTCAAAAAGAAAAGAAAAATAAAGACAAAAAATGCTCTTGTTTGTAATGGAAGGGGGTGGGGGTTTGGATCAGTCTTATTGCATGTTATACAAAATAACCTCCTTCCTTCATTTGCATGTTCCTCCCTCATATGCAAATTCCTCTCAACTTATTTCTAGAAGGTCCAGAATCATTCTTAGGTTTACTTGGATAGTGTATATAAAAATTGATAAAAATGAAAATCTTTTAAGAAGGTTGGTCTAGACTCCCCACCCCACCCCACCCCAACCCAACAAGGATTAATTGGCTTAATTATGGAAAATCCTTTAATTTTGATATGTGTTTTCTATATGCATGCCTTTTGACATGGGTTTGAATAATGAGTGCAAGGATGTAAAGTCAGCCCATGATTTTGTCAATGAAGGTTTAATGAAATAAAAGTGCCTAAAGTACAAAAAAGATCCAGCAGGCTCCTTTCAAATTTCAAGGTCACATGTATTGATTAACAAAGTAAACAAATGTCAAACTAAACTTTGGATCCCCTCCCCTAGGAATTATAGTGATCATTCCCTCCTAAGGTCTGAAAAAAAAATAATACCTACATCAAGTAATTAAAGATGTTTTTTCTTGGTGAATGATGTCCAAAAGCTTTTTGTATAGCATACATGTAAAAAAAAATTTTTTTAGCTTTTTTATACCCCCACTTGAAAAGGGGAGTATATAGTGATGGGGTGTTCCTCCGTCTGTATGAGCATCTGTCTGTCCATCTAGCTGTTTGTCTGTCCTCCATCTGTCTGTCCATTACACTTTGGGGACCCATGTCTTATCTGCAGCTCCTCCTATACCACTGAATAAAATTTTAGACATTCACAGAATCTTAATTACAATCATAATACAATTGTGCACCTCTTATTTTACTTTTTGACACATTTCTGGAGTTTCCCATAGCAAAACATGACACTGCCATTCTTTCTATAGAATTGGGGGTACCCATCTCTTATTTGCTACTCTCCCTATACCACTGATTAAAATCTAATGAAACTTTCACAGAATCCTTATTACATAGTGTCATTGCATGTGCACATCCTTTTTACATTTTGACTGGACAGATATTTGAGCTTTCTCATAGCAAAATATGGACTTTGCCATTATACTGATGTTGGAGCGGGGTGTATCATTTTGCGAGTTCAGTGCTCACATACAGTGCCTCTACTTTAATTTGTGAATTACAGTGTATACTATAAATACTTATTTGTTTGCTAGTACAGTATATTGTAAAAGTAAATGTTCACAAGGATGTTCACAAGATTTGAAATTTAAGATAAATGTTAATTTTTTTCAGATTTTATCAAAGAATATTTTAAAGACATTGGGGGTCTTACATTCCTCATAGATCTTCTCACATCCATAGAAAATCCTGAAGTTCAGGAAAGAGCATTCTTTTGTCTTGGCTGTGCAATTGAAAGAAATGGTAAATCTGATCTTGCATTAATTTTCAAAAGAATGAAAGAATTTTATTCTTGTATGATTATAATAATAATCATAATTTTTAACTCTGTTGAATTCACCATTTTTCTTCCAAAAATTGTATATCAGAATAATAGGTACCAAAATATTTCAGTTAATAATTGGTTATTAAACATTACATGTAGTTCTAATATTCATGAAATATTTTGAACCTTCCTTTCAGTTTTTTGTCAGAAATCAGTTACTTCCAGCACTGTTTTCAAATTCATTCAGACAATATTGTCAAGAGGTTCTACTGCCAAATTAAAGCAAACAGCAACATTCTTTCTCATAAATCTTGTGGCAAATAATGGTAAGTTTAAAATTATATTGCACATTTAAATTTTGATTAAATCATAATTATAAGATTGTTAAAATATTGATATACAACTTTTTCTTGTAAAACACTTGCATGACTTTTCAGCTGATTCTGCATGGAATTCTTCAGATGCTTCTTTATGACATTTTACAGAGGCAAATTTAGAAATGTCTTAGTCTTCTTACACTTAATTTGCCATTTCTGACTAGTACACCTGCAGATTGATTTGGGGGGGGGGGCATAATTTTGCTACTGGTTAGGAAAATATCAGGGTTTTTTTATTAAATGAAAAAAAAAAAATCTCAGAAAATTTCAGATTTACATTAAATTTTTATCCCTTGTGATATTTATAAGGATTTACAAATTTATAATCCACCCGAGTGATGGGAAATTGTTTTCCAACTTTAAAAAGCCTTTTTGAGGAAGGAAAAAAACTTAACAGCTTTTCCAGTTAACAGTTTGGTTAAGGGCAAATAAGTTTAAATTCATTGTAACATATAAACATAAGGGGAAAAAATAGGTTGAAAATTTTCTAATATGCTTTAAAATCATGATGGGCAATACTGAGTTTCATTTCTGGCTCATTTCATTGTAACAGCAATATGATACGAAGACATTGTTACTCTTGAGATTGAATTGTTGTAAATACATTTCATATATATATATTTCAGGGGAAGGCCAAGTCTTGGTGAAACAAAGTCAGTGCCTTTCTACTCTAATGGATTTATTATGGTACATGTAAAAAGATATCTTTTCTGTATGTTGCAGATTCTGAAGTGACCTTGGGCAACTATTTATTGCATACCAATTTTTATTACATCTGCTTGTTAATATATAAAATTTTAATTGGTTTAGAATAACTCAAAAGAAAAAAAATTCAGAGTTGATTGTGTCAGAGAATAGGTATTTCAACCTAAGAATCCTAAATTTTGAGTTTTGCTTTGGATATTTGTAGTAAAGCATTGCCAAAAGATATGAGAGCTGAAGGCAGAGATGAGACTGGTTTTGATTGGTTTGATGATTCAGGACCTACTAGCATAGAATTGTGGACCAGTGTGGTCAACGCATTATGTGTCAGTATCAACAATCCACAGAATGGTAAATATACATACATAGCAGTAACATTGTGAGATATTAATCTAGCATTTTTATGTTTGCTCTTTAGTACATGGCAATAGTACAGAGATATTTCAGTTTTGTCCATCTTGGGCCACTATTTGAAATTTTCTATTGTGAAAAACGCATGAATTTTCACATTACTGATTTGAATTTAATGACGTCTTTGGCATGTGCTTGCCTAATTAAAAAGCTATCGTAATTAATTTAAGATGCTAAGGTATGCAAACAAACAGAAAGTGTTCTGATTTGCTGGTGACACATAAAGATATAATAAAAAAAGTAAACAGGAAAAAACACCGAACAGTTTTGATAGGATATTTACTTAAGTAGTTCAATATTGATTGATTATAGTGAAAAATTAATTGGTCTCACATATTTTAAATTTCATACATTTTTATCTTCAGAGGAAAACCAGAAAGCATGTGGTTTGCAAGTTCCATTCATTTTTAAACTTCTTAAGCAGAATAGAGGGATTCCTTCTCTGACAAGACCTTTGATGTTCCTTCTTGGATTCATTGTGTCTAACAATAGTGAGTGTCAAATTACTGTATTTCTTCTTCTACTTTGTAATTAATTAATGTAAAAGTCTTTGACAAAGGTGAGATTAAAAAGACTTGTACTTGTGAGCAACTTAAGATTTTAGTTTTTTTTCTTCAAAATCGTATCATAAACAATGACACCACATCCTTTTTTATTTGTAATCAATATTTATTTGAATTTTATCAACATACAATATGAAATTGATCAGATCTGCGGGTAATGCAAGCATAGCAGGGAATGCTTACGTTAATGCAACTGGTCCTAAGCTCCATAGCAGTTTTATGTGTTCCCGATTCTTGCACTGATTTTTTTTCCTATTTTATTTACTAGTTCCTATCAATACTATGTAGTTATGCATGATTTTTGATGAAATATACAGTGTATCTTCTAATAGTTTCTTTTAAACTGAACTTAAAACAATTTGAAGAATTCAAAGAATTTCAAAGTCATAGGGATGGTTAAAGTCAGAAAAAATCAGAAAATCATAACACAGTTGAATTCTTTTTGCCAATATTTTTGTTTTGTAAAGTTTGATCAAAATATCTTGAAAAAACGAGTCAAGGTCACAGGGAAGGTCAAGGCCAGAAAATTTTGTAAAGTGGAATAGTTCTCATCAATATATATCAATGGATGAGTTTAGGAGAAAAGCAAGGTCAAGGTCATTGGGCAGGTAGTTCTTACCAATATGTATCTTTTTATAAAGTTTGATTTAAAATATCTTGAAAAAAAAATGAAACCAAGATCAAAGGGAAGGTCAAAGAAAATATTGACAAAGTTGTTCTCTTCAATGTATCAGTGTATGAAATTGATAAATATACACATGTATCATGAAGAGTTATTTAAGGTCATAGGGAAGGTCAAGGTAAGAAAATTTTTAACATAATTGAATAGTTCTGATCAATATAAGTTTTAATAAAAAAATATCTTAAAAAATTTCTTTGAAACTGAGCTAAACATGAATTGAGAAAAAGTGGGGTAAAGGTTGTGGGGATGGTCAAAGTCACAAAATCTTGACAAATTTGAGTTGTTTTTATTAATATATATCAGTGTATGAGTTTTGGAATGTCGGTAAAAAATTATGACAGTTGAATAGCTCTCACCAATATGTATCAGTGTATGAAGTTTGTATCTTGTATCTTTCTTTGAAACTGAGCTAACCCCATGAAAAGTGTGACAGATTAAAAGAGAGAAGGATGGAAAGATGAGTTGAAGATGGACATGACAAACACTCTATGCCCTGGCCATATTCACTGCAAATTTTTTAAAAATATTTTCAAGGGTCCAACCAGGATCAAGTACGCAGATGTGGGGGACTTGATGTTTTGTGCCTAGAGCTACAGGATCAGTATTATCATTCAAATGATCCAGAACTATTAAAGGATGTTATTCAGATTATCACTACCATAGATTCCTGCATTGCTGATAATGGTAATTTATGGCACGCCAATTTCACAAAAATTAGCGAAACTTAGTTTCACAGTTGATAAACTAGGTTTATCGACTGTAAATTATAGTTTACAAACCGTAAACTATAGTAAACGATTCGTTAACTATAGTTTTCATCTGTAAAACTATATTTAACGGTTGTTAACTATAGTTTACGAATGCTAATCTAAGTTTATCTGTCTGTAATTAAACGTTAACAATAGATTTTGTTGATAAACATAGATTCACATCTGTAAACTATAATTTACAATCGTGAACTATAGTTAAGAGTTGTTAATCATAGTTTCACAAATCGTGAAACTATATTTATCAGATAAACTATGTTTTACATTCAAGTTAACCATAGATTTCGGTTGTAAACTATAGTTAACTGTCATTTATACTCACAAACTATATTTAACAGACGTAAACTATACTTATCGATCGTAAACTATAGTTTTGAGAGCTAAACTATGATTCACATTTGCCAATCATAGTTTATCGTAATAAACTATAATTCACACTCGTAAACTATAGTTAAGAGTTGTTAAATATAGTTTATGTATCTAAACACCTGTTAACTGTTAACGATAGTTTTCAATTCGAAATTTCGCGTCACCAATCGCGAGAAGCAATAATGAGGTATAGGTTTTATCAGTGCGGAGAATATTAAGGACACGTGTTGGGCATTATCTAAAGCAAAGACCGAGTTATATATAATCAATATTACTTTCTCTATTTAAGGACACACGCAACGTAGTTTGAACTTTATTGTCTTTTTCCCTGGAGTTGAAGAGTTCCAATGCTTAAAGGAACTGTGTGCTACATTTTAATGTCTATATATGCTGCTGTACACTTCCTCTAAAACAAGTTTGAATGAACAAAACATCTAGAATATATGTTTAGTAATTTTTGTATATTTTTCTTTGAATTATATAAGAATTTTCATTAATAAATATCTTTTCAAAACCCCTGGTAATGCATGCTGATTTTTTGTCTACGAACATCTGATGGCTCTATAATCTTAAATTAAGAATATCTTGAAAAATTATCAGTAGGTAAGGTACGTTGCGTATGTCCTTAAACAGGATTAATTGTATTTATTTTAAAATGTCATGTATATATACATTTCCTATGGGGAAATTTTTAGAAATATGATAAAAGTTTAATTTTTTAAAAGACAGAATATTACAAGATTTTTGCTCAAGCAGAGGAGGGTGAAGCGCGTTTTACAATGTGCCAAGCATCTTCCCGCCACATCTCATCACCAAAACAAAGAAACTGAAAGAGAGGAAATGCAGTGGTGGATATAGATAGGGTTGTGGGGGTTTCAACGTCCTCCTTTGAATTTAAGAGAGAGAGAATGAGAGAGAAGTCCCAAATATTTGTTGTGTTTGTTCCTTGAAAGGCCACTTTTATTTATGTATGAAGAAAATTCGGTTGTTGAAAAATAAATTCCGCGCCTGCAATGTTACATGTACTGTGTTATGTCTTTATTTACAGATGAATATAAGATATACATGTATTTCATTAATGACAGATCACGCATTTCGGTCTCTATTTTTCTCTTTTAAATCAAAAAAATAAAATTTTAATCAATAATTTTCCAGTCATTTTTCTTTTTATTTCCAACTAGATTTGCTTTAAAATAATAGAACATTTACTTATAACGCCAACAAGAAATATACATGCATTATATTTAACAACAATTGTCGTTACATAGCAAAATCTTATAATGCTGTAACTAGGATTAGCCGATCTATAATTTACAAAAAAAAAATATTGTTAACTATAGTTTTGATCGTAAACTATGGTTTAGAGTCGTAAAATCTAGTTTCACAGAAAATTGTGCATCTCCGATACAAAATAAGAGATTCTGTTCCTAAACTGTGTTTCTCAAGTGTAAAACTATGTTTATCGCATTTTTGTGAATTTGGCGCTTCGTATGTCTGTAAAGTATACTTTACAAAGGCTAAACTATAATTTACATTTGTTAAGTATAGTTTAGAGTTGTAAATCATAGTTTACAAATCGTGAAACTATATTTATCAGATAAACTATATTTTGCAGTAGCAAATGATTGTTTTCCGTGTTAATTATAGTTTACGCTTGTGAAACATAGATTATCGTGTAAACTATAGTTTACATATGTGAAATATAGATTATCATCATTAACTATAGTTTACGGTCTGTAAACTATAGTTTACAGTCGATAACCCTAGTTTATCAACTGTGAAACTATGATTAGCTCATTTTTGTGAATTTGGCGTGCCATAGTAATTTAAGCTATGCGATGAAAATATTTTCACTTAAAAAAGGGAAGAAAATTTCTGAACAGGAAGATTTGCCTGCATTTAATATTTAAAAATGGATTGGTATAATGGAATGCAAGCATTTTTGTCAATGAACAAATTATATACCTGCCTTTCAGCTACATACCACCCCCCCCCCCCCCCTAAAAAAAAGGAAAGAAGAAAGGAAAAAAAACCTTAATTGATCTGCATATTTAGCCATAAATTTATTTTTCATCAATGTTACTTTGATATACTGCCCATAATATTGCATAAATATTGCATGTAGTTGAGTGTAACATTGAAAATTTTCACCCCAAGAAAACCTTTGTCAACCAAGACGCAGCCGAGGTTGACAATGAGTTTCGAGGGGTGAAAATTTTTAATGTTACACTCAACTACATGCAATATTTAATATACAGGGTTGTCCCTAAGTATTGAAAAAGCAGGGAATATATAAAAAGTAGAAGGGGATTTTGGGTTCCATCCCTAACATAGTTTTGAGGGGGAATAACAGAATAACCGGGGGTTCGTCATTATAGGCGGGGAAATTCCCCGGCCCCCGGGTCTTAGGGACAACCCTGTTATATTATGCTGAATGTTTTCTACAAATACAAATAACAGTGAGTCTTGTGCACATAAATTCTGCGCAGGCAATATTTTTTGGAATATCACCCGTTGTCAAGCTATGTTGACTGTTGCTATGCTGGAGGGCGTGGCTTCATCATTGAGCGGGTAATAGTGTTTTTTAACAAGTGTTTCTCAACAAATCAGATTCAACTAATTTACATGAAAGTATAATATCTACATATATAGATATTATATAGATACTACATATATATACATATATATCTATATACACACATGTATATATATCTTTTTGTGTATTTGTTTAAGTAATATTTTTGAATTTGTTTCTGTAGAAGAAAGTGCAAAAGAGCTAGGACAAGCAGGAGTCATTCAAATTTTAGCAGGTGTCATACATAATGAAAAATTGGGTATTGGAGAAAGAATTAAAGTGACTATAACTCTAGGTCATGCAATTGAACACTCAGGTAAATAAAAATGCATATTTCTAAACAAACACTTGCATTTTTGAACCCACCTCAGTGAAGTTGGGGGGAGCTTATATAATACCCAAAGCGTCAGTGTCGGCCTCCCAGGTTAGAGTTTTGAAGCAGATTTCTTTTCAAATATACTTCTATGTCCTATATTAATCAGAGATGCATGGACGATGCATTTAGTATGTTTCATTGCACCAGTCAAGGTTTAAGATGCTGCAATTTTGGCTAAAGAATGACCTGATTAATGTTTTGGAGCAGGTTAAAGTTTTTGGAGCAGGTCTCGTTTCCAGTTAAGAGTACGCCCTACATTGACCAAATATGCATGGATGATACATCTAGGGATGCACACTACCAGGCTTGCTTTTGATGCTGGATCTGACCTACATTTTCCAGATGAGTTACCAAGTTTTATGTTTTTGGAGTAGGTTCATTCTGAAGTACTTGTAACAGTACATTGACCAAACTTGCATGAATGATACATCTAAGGATGCAAAACTAGTGGAGATGCTTCTGATGCTGGATCTGACATACATTTTCCGGGCAAAGTTTTCAGAGCAGTTTCATTCTAAGGTTACTACTATTAGGCCCATATATGTATATGCTAACCAACTTTGCATTGATAATACATTTATTGATGCACACTACCAGAGTTACTTTGGATGTGGGATTTGACCTAGCTACTTTTTCCAAATGAGTGACTACCCAGTAGGTTAAAGTTCTTGGAGCAGGTCCATTATCAAGAGACTATAAGACCTACCTGAACCAAACTTGCATGGATGATGCATCAAAGGGATGCAGACTACCAGAGTGACTTCAGATGCAGGATTTGATCTACATTTCCCTGAGTGATTAGGTTAAAGTTTTTGGAGCAGGTCCATTACTAAGAAATGCTGGATTTGACTTACATTTTCCAGATGACTGACCAGGTCAAAGTTTTTGGAGCAGACTTATTCCATTGTAACTTCAAGCCCTAGATAGACCAAACTTGCTTCAGATGCTGGGTTTGACTTACATTTTCTGGATGAGTGACTAGTTTTAAGTTTTTAGATTCCATTCCCAAGTAACTGCAAGCTCTCCCAGACCAAAATTGCATATTGCATCTAGGGTGTTGAGGTGAGCTCTGTAATCTATGATTGCCTATGCTATATATTGTGATTGCTACCACTTCTTAGAATACTTCATGAAGTCACTAGCTAATTAGTTTTGCAAAATACACAAGTTGGCCCAATCTTATAATTTACTTCTTTTTCAGTATCAAATAGAAGTCTTTTCCTTGAAGCTAAAAATGGTCTCCAGGACTTAATTCATATTTTAACTACATGTGAAAATGAAGAACTGACGAAGGCAATAAAATATGTGTTGCAGGTTACTGTCCAGAAAGGTATTTACAAGTATATCATTGTTTCTTATACATTTAATGATTTTAACAATTAACATCCAACATTGAGCCCTTACTGTGGCCCTTAGTCAAGCTTTCCCCAAGAAGCCATTTTCTTAATAAAATTAAATACATGAGGATTAGCCCTTATGCATCTTAATTTGACAGTTTTTTTTTTAGAATTGTGTCTTTAAAAAATCCACTTTAAATTGTTTTCCTTCTGTATTTTCTGTAATTCAAAGTGTAATCCCTTTTAGTGCATCATCAGTTCCCTTGGGTCATATTTTATATTATCGTACATACGTGCATGTATTTTGTGTTAAAAAAGAATTCTTGAAGAAAGTACACGTTTGTGCATTCCAAGCAAAATTTCTCTACTTCTTAAAAATGTAATTTATCTTTTGAGGTTTTTTGCACAGTCAATCCTAAACAGTTAGCAAGCATTCCTACATGTATATATATGGTTTAGGTTATACTGGGCAATGACTTCACCAAATATGTAAAATTCCTGTCCATTGGTAACAGTGAATTTAGGGTAGGGCTAAATTAATTGACATACAGTTGAAGAAGAGAAGATTACCCCCGGCTTTGTAACAAAACTTTATGTGATTATAAGCAGTGTTTTATTTTTCTGTTCGAGACTTCAGATCTGTTTTGTGGCTTTATGTAGGCACTTTAGATAATGGTTTTAACAAACTGTGACTAATAATAGGTAGGAGGAAATTTTTTCTTAAAAAGAGAGAATTTCTGAAGAGCAGTCAAGCTACAAGTTGTTAAACTTTTTTCTACAATATCTGTATCAATTAATTGTGAATTCAAAATTGTTCATATTATGGACCTTTCGGTTGGATATGGATATGTTAACTTTAAGCTTTACAAAGAAGTAGATAAGAAAAAAGATTAGATGACATGCCTCATAACAGATAATCAGGAGACTGTTAAGGCTCTGTGGCCTCTACCATATGCCCCTGGAGGTATTCATCCTGTACATACATCTCATAACTATTGTCACCACTAAAAATTTTTTTTGGTTTCCTTTTAGACACCAATTCAGATGAAGAGGAATGGAATCAAGAAATAACGAACAAAAAGTAAGTGTAAGAGTTTATCAAACTTATAAAATTAATATTTTGTAATGCTTAAAGTAGGTCATATTTAAACTACTGGTAATACCCATGTTACAACTCTGATGTAATGGAAAGCAAGGAAGGTATATCAAGGGAAACACCTAATTCAATTTCTAACATAATTAACCATAAGAAAAATAGATCGTGTGAGGAAGATGTACCAAAAACTGATTGAAAAGGCAAACTAGAATGGTAAATGCAGAGAAGCTAGTAACAACTTGCAATATCATTAACAAAATATGAAAGGAAATTCTTTAGCTCCTCTTGACCAAATGGAAATGTCAGAGCTTACTGTGAAATCACAAATTTTTTACGGTGGGGGGTGGGGGGTGGAGGGGGGTCCTTGTTTCTGTTGTATGAAGAAATGAACTAATTCATGTCTTCTATAAAATGTTGGAATTTTAAACTAATGTTTTATATTTCTTCATCAGCCAATAAATCAAATTCCCTCAAATCAATATTTTTTTCTCAAACCCCACAAAAATTGGCCATCCAAGTTTAATTTTAGGAGCAAGTCTTATTGATAATTCTGTTGAAGATAGACAAGGCTCCGGCCAAGACCATCAACTGAGAGTAGACTTAAGTCAAAATTAATATCTGAAATTTAGATTTCAATTTCTTAATCTTTATTTAACAAATATCTTCAAGAAGTTTCATGTTTGATAAATATTCTAGTAAAAATATGTTAAAATTTTTGTTCCATTTTAGAAATTATTTCAAAAATATACTAATTTGAAATTTTGACTTTCTTAGTTCTCAGTTTATGGTCCTGCGGCCAGGTTAAATTTTTTGGAGCAGGTCCATTCCCCATTAATTTATTAATTATCCCTACCATGTTAGACCAAATTCATGGATGATGCATCTAGGGATGCATATCACCAGACACGTTTCAGATGCTCGATCTGACCTACATTTTCAGATGATTGAATAGGTTCAAGTTATAGAGATCCATCATCAAGTAAATTTAAGCTCTTTCTTAAAAGAACAAAAATCTCACAAGGGTGATGTATCGAGGAATCCATATTACCAGACATCCTTCATATGCTGCATGTGACTGACCTACAGTGTCTGCATATTTTAAAGATCAAGTTTGTTTTAGAGCAGGTTTATTATCAAGTAACTGTAAGTCTTATATCTATGCCACATTTAAGCCGATGATCGGATGACCAAATTTTTCTTGTCGGCTGAAAAACATGGCCGACACTGGTATTAGAAGACACAGAGCAGTCACATTAATTCATAGGAACACTGATGATTTAAAAGTTTAAATATTTATAAGCCAGCCAATCATCATTCCAACATTGAGCGCTAAGCCACAGTTTAATTTTCATCATTGGCAGATGTTTAGAAAACCAATACCTAAATGTTGACCAACCGACTTAACAAACTGTGGATGGTTGGACAATGATTGATGGTTGGGCGATCTATCCCATATTGCTTCAACTGAAGAAATTGGCCACCAACGCAGAAAAAAAATTATAACTGGGCCCTATGGACACAAAATTGGTCGACTAATGAAAAAGGAGGTCAAAATCATGCAGGCAAGACAATAGCTCCTGAACTGCTGACTGTCACCTGAAGAATCTTATTTTACTTCAGAACACTTTGACTGGTCCTCTTTGGAAATATGACTTGGGTTTTACCTGGTCCAAACTTTCATTTTATGATGTTTATCAAAGGTGTAAGTGTTCAAAAGAAAAAAAAAGGGAAGGGATATGAAATCAGTTGACCTTTCTCTTATACCACATGAATGTCGGGTTTAGGCCTTAGAAAAAAATATGTTATTTTACTATTACATTCTAAAGAAAAATGAGTTGGGTAGGTAGGATTTTATTTTTATTTTCATTTTCACATTTGCCCACTTGTGAAGTTCAATTTTTCTTGCTGCATAATCCTTCTTTTCCATCTACCCCACAGCTCTTGCTAAGTTGTAGGGAACATAGTAGGTATAAAATGTAAGGAAAAGGTATGGGGATGCAATTTCTGAATTGTATGTCAAAAAGAAGCATTTGGGTGAGTGCATAGATTTAGGGTTGGTCAGGTAAACATTTATGCCCCCTTGAAAAAAGGGGCCATATTGCTTTGCACCTGTCAGTTGGTACACCAAATGATCACTCAATAACTTCAGAACCCTTTGCTTGATGGACACCAAACTTGGTACACAGGTCTCCCTGAGGAGTATATGAGCATCCTATTGATTTTGAAATCTCAAGGTCAAAAGTCAAGGGTCAAATTACTCTCGACATAGGCAAATGTCCATTCAATGTCTTGAATACCTTTTGCTTGATAGACATTAATCTTAATACATTGTACATTGGTTCCCCTTAAAAAAGTTAATGACCTATATTAATTTTGAGGTTACAAGGTCAAAGATCAAGGTCAAACTGGACAAAGGTAGATATTAACTACTCAATATTTTGAAAACCCTTTGCTTGGCAGACATGAGACTTGGTACATTGGTTTCCCTTAAGTATTAGATGATGCCTATTGATTATGAGGTTACTAGGTCAATGGTCAAGGATCAAACAACATAGAAAAATACTGTCAGCTCAGTATATTGAGAATCGCTTGCTTTTTGTCAAATGGTACTCTTTTAGAAGTAACGGTAACCTACCCCTAATTATATTGAGGCCTGATAGTCACAGAGATCGAACTCAGTATTACCAGGTTTGTTTGCCCCAGATTAGTAGATAACTAATTTTTTTCCCTATCATACAGACATTCCAAGTTTAAAGTGGTATTTTTAACAGTGCCACATGAGGGTTGGGGATGTATATGTTTCTCAAACATTTCTTGCTTTTCTTAGGCCTTAACACCTGAAACCCATTTATCAATTGAACAAATATTTAATGCTGATATCTGATTGTTTTTATAGCTTAAAAAAGAAGTCCAGCAAGAAAACTTTTATTTGAAAAATTGTCAGTTTTATAATGCATTTTTTTATTCATGATTTTTTTTTTTCATTTTTACAGAAGTATAGGAGAAAATATACTGAAAACAGTAAATGAATTAGCAAATCATCTGAAATCCATAGAAAAAGAGAAGGAGCTTGGTGGACATCTTCCTACAATAATCCACACAGCCCAATATAACAAAAACTTTGATGAATGTCCATCAACTCAAGATTTTGTTTATACCCAACCAACACTGACATTTCAGAATCCTAATCTTCTTTATCTTGGCAACAGTGTATGCAAAGATGCGAACAATAATTCAAGTGCATTTCAAATATCAGATGATTGGAAGCAGCAGCTCAGCTTAACTCCTTTTGAAAAACATTTGATTTCTGAGCTTCAAAAGGTAACATTCACAAGCATGAATAGACAATAAATATTTCATGTAACCATTTTCAATGTATTTATAGGGAGTGTCCTCAAGGGGTAGAAATCCTATTAGGACAGTTCTAGTTGAATACAGTGTCCTATACCATGTTTTGTGATAATAAGTTGAGAAAGGTTTCTCTGCTGTTCGAAAGGTAACATATATTAATCTTTAAATGGAAGAAGTGGTTATTTTTATTTCAATAAATAGTTTGTAACACTTTCACAGGAAAGATTAAAGAACTCTGACCAGACTATAAGGAACCACATTGCATGTGAACCAGACAAACAAAAGTTGGTATTTGAAAGAAAGGAGCAAGTTCATGAAGCATGCACATGTACAGCATTGGAAGCAGAACCAGGAACCCACAATTACCATAATGATGACACAGAACATAGGAATTCTGGTTGTACTTCCAAAATTCATGTTTCAAATACTAGATCATTATCATCAAACTCTTCTACAAAAAGTTATGATGTGGACCTAACCAAAATGACTGATGGTAAAGAAACTAAATGTACTACAGTTGATGGGAAAATTCCATTGAGCGAAGGGATTTTCAAAGTTCCAACATGCCCCCCACCAAAAACGCAAGCTAGGTGCTTTAGACAGGTTCAATCTGAACCTCTCTGTTTTCCTGAGGCTCAAGGTGATACAAGTTTTGTAGAGAGTGATGCTGGATTCTCTGATATCCAGTCAGAGTTTGACTGTAAACTTTTATCTGGAGCTGCAGATCATAAAGGTATAAAATCAGTGTCAAATCTTACAGTGTGTTTTAGGTATAACATCATGATGAATGTTTACTGATAATGCAATACAAATGTATTTCTAATTCTCCATGTTGCCCTACCTGAGTAAATCAAAAATGTGTTATGAATACACATGTACTTTAACTAACATCTTATATTATCTCATATATTTGAAGTTGTTGAGAAATAATCTGTAATTGATATATCCTTAGATGGAAGAATGAACCCTCAGGCAACACCTGTGAGACAGATTTCTGTGTTTCCAGTTGAAAGATCAAATCAGCAGGCATATAAAACACCCGAGTACCAGTACTCTCAGAGAAATACAAGCAACTGTAGTAGAAACTTTCTTACAACACCTACATGTAGTGTCAAATCAGTCAGAAGTACATTATCTAGTTTAAAGCAAGACAAAACATCAGGTAACATCAGAGCATATTTTTTGTAATACTTTACATTCTGAGGTACCCGGTACTTCAATCTGTATTGCAATTATAAAGGTTAAAAATTAAAAACTTTTTTACTTGCAGGAACTGATTGTAGTAGACAAATACTACACTCCAAAAATTCCAGATTAAAGATGAGTTGCATAGGTTAGTGAGTGAAATAAATCATACTAATGAAGGTATACATTGTGCATGAATTTAATTTCAAGTAGAAGTTTTCAACTCAGGAAAATGCCAGTGGGTGTTATATTTCACCTCACATCTTGTTTTAAGATCATTTGAATATGGTGTGATCAGCTTGTTATCATTTTTCACAGAGACATATATCCATAAACTTTTGTACATCTTTGACATATGTTCTCAAGAAACACCAATTTAGCTAAACTTGCCTCAAATCATCTTTGGTTTGGGGAAATTTATAAATTTGTTCATGTGAAGGGTCTAGCCCCTTTTCAAACAGATATAAGTAAGAAAGAAAATAGAGTTGAATTACTTTAGAACTCTTTCTAGAACTACTAAACTAAGAATTTAAAAACAATATGTTCAAGCTTCAATACATATTTTGTGGACTAAAATCTGTTCAACCATGGTCAAGTCGTGATAGGTATGAGATATGTATTGTTGCAATGGACAGTCTTCAAATTTATTTTTCATAACTGCAAGTCTACAGATAATCAGATATATGTAAAGCTTATTGTAGACACATGTAGTGTAGTTTCAAGATTGTTTTCAACATTGTTCAGAACATGGCCTGTGAGGCTGGATGGGGCTATTAATTAGGCTCATATAGGAAGAAAACCAAAACTTGTTTGAAAGAAGTTGGCACATACTGATACTCAGTTGACTGTTAAGGCCCTTGAGTCTCTTGCCTAAACAAAGAATATGATATAACTTCCAGGGTGTACTGGAACTGATTGCAGTGATGATACACTGCTGAACAGCAGAACACTCAACATTGTACTAGAGACTAATCCATACACCTGTCAGGTTCACCGCCAGGTACGGAATATTGAGAGAAGTTATATACAGAAAGTCAAACAGCAACAGAGAGAAAGACCAATCTACAGTTATAATAAACAGGATCATCCAACAAATGAGAAACCATCCTATGATTTCAGCAGTGAATCTGAGGCAGAGGTACTTCAGTATTAATTAGAGACTTGGAGATAATCACAGAATTGTCAGTTATATATTTGGTTACAATTAAGATGAAAGAGCCTCTACCAAAATTATGAAATTAATGAGCACACTGACAGGATCTAGGGTTCACGCACTGGATTTAGGCTTTGAGTATGAGGGGGAGGGTGGGGGAAAATGCATCATGTTTTATAAAATCTATCAGGCAGAAACATTTTGCATAATTGTTGTAAGTGAGTGAGGAGGAAGCTTTCTACCGAAACTGAAATTCATGACCTGTTGGCCAATGATTCAGGCCATAGGATTGGGCTAAGTTGATCACGCATTAAAAATGCATTATATTTTTTACAAATTTTTTATGTAGTAGACAAACTGTTGACATGATTACACTAATTTACACATAGTTTTTGAAGTTCAGGGTTGGGGTTTCGGGCTTTGTGGTTGTTCTAAGTTGATCTTGTTTGGAAATGTGTATTTATATATGTCTTTGAAATTCCTTCTTCCAGACATCTAGCAAAATGTTTTCCTTCTGTTGTAAGCCCTAAAATTGAACTATCATGATGTAAAATAATAATGGAAAGACTTACCTTTTACTTTCCAAAAAGCATTGAATTATTAACCTGGTATTGTATAAACAATTGTATTAAATTGATAAACCCAACCTTCCTGCAAATGGTATTAGAGGAATTTGGTAATCTTAGAAGAATTGAAGGTCATTTGAACATGAGAAGGTCACTGATAGGAAAAAAAAATGAATTTTGAGGGGTTATAACTCAGTAACACCAAAAACTTCTGAAATATATTGTGATAAAAAAAAATTGCAATTTTTTTTGCCATAAATTTGTAAGAGAACAACATGTATATAAAAATATTAGTGGTTTATGAAAATAGGATACTCAGATGACCACCATGATCCATGGATCTCTTGATTATTATACTTCCCACTTGTAAAATGGGGTGGGCTGGGGGATGGGATAGGATGGGGTATAGTGATGGGTGTGTCTGTCCATCCGTCCTTCCTTTACGCTTTGGAGTGCCCATCTCTTATCCACAACTCCTTATAGACCACTGAATGAGACTTTCACAGAATCTTTACTATATTTTACTTTTTGATTGGACACATATTTCAGGTTTCCCATAGCCAAACATTGACACTGCCACTCTTTCCATAATATAGGGGGTATCCACTATATCTCTTATCCACAACTCCTCCTATACCACTGAATAAAACATAACAATACTTTCACAGAATCTTTATTACATAGTGCCATTGTTCCTTTCCTAATTTACTTTTTCATTGGACACATATTTTTTATGTTTCCAATAGCAAAACAGGACACTACCATTCTTTCTATATTATTGGGGGTACCTATTTCTTATCTGCAACTCCTGTACCACTGATTAAAATTTAATGAAATTTTCACAGAATCTTTATTATATCAGGGGCTGACAAATAGATTTTTAGGCACTTGTCCAAGGGCAAGTGCATGGTCAAAATTCATCTGCCCTACATGAATATTTGCTTGCCCCACCATCAAGACCATAAAGTAATACTGTATATATTTATATATAGTTTGAAAAATAGGAAGACAAATACTGAGTAGATCATGCAAGCCCCTGTGTCTAGCTTTATTTCTATGACTTACATATGGATTCAATTATTTAAAGTCACTTGTCCACAGGCAAGTGGTTGATAAAATTTCACTTGCCCACCCTTAAAATTCACTAGTCCCAGGCGTCGGGCAATGGGATTTGTCATCCCCTGATTATATATTGCCATTGTGTACCTCCTACTTATGTTTCGATGGGACAGATATTTAAGCTTTCTCATAGTAAAAATTGGACTTTACCATTTTACTCATATTGGAGTGTGGGTATATATTTTTGTGAGTTCACTGCTCACAATGCTTCTAGTTTTACCTGGACTTGCTTGTCAGATTTCATTTTGTTTTGTTGATAGGTGTCAGCTCCAGATACAATCGAGAGCAGGAACAGTATTGTACAGACTCTAAAGCCGGTAAGAAAAAGAAGACACAGGGTGCCTTACAGTGCAGAAGAAGTCAATAACTTGCTCGAAGGAGTAGACAAGATAGGAAAATTTTGGGGACAAATTCTTGCAACGTACAAATTTCATCCTTCCAGGACTGCAGTGGATTTAATGGAAAAATTCAAAAGAGTATCAGTAAGGTTCCCTTCACACTGGATTAAGACTCTGCAAAGCTTTCCATGACCTCCAAAATCTATTTTATTGTGAAGGAAATGTGGAAAAATTAGAAAAAAAAACCTTCCTGTACTAATTAAGGCAATCATGACACTGCTCCATCTTAATATGTTGGAAATGGGGGGGGGGGGGGGTCTCCATGTTTTATACATTTTAAGGATATTTTCCTGTGCTTGAGTCACATTCTGTATAATAATAGCTGGTACATTCCCACTACAATGTCACTTATAATGAACATGCCTTGCACTGAGACTGCAATTGAGTAACCTTGTACAACCTTTAATCAGAATTGTTGTAGCTCTTCCACTATCTATCACACAAAATGGTCATCCCAGCTAGTGCATTCTTAATACAATCCTGAACACCTCTCCAGGACTCTGAAAGACCTTTGAAATTTGTGATCTAGCTAGAGTTTAAAGTTTTAGCACATTTTAGTATTACTGGTATATTTTATTTCATTACCACAGTAAAATTTCACAACATTCTTTATGTACATTGTTTATAGAAAAAATGAAGGACTATACATCCTGGTTAAGTTACACCAGATAAACCTTAAGGTCTGATGACACGTTGCTCAAATATCTGTTTTGTACCTCTTCATAATATACAATAATTTATCATAATTATCATTATTTTGTGATTTACACTGTTTTCAAAATGTCTAAGTAGATAAAGACACCAAAAAATTGTGATATGGGCAATGTTAGAGATCTCCAAAAAGGATTATTTAGTAAATAACATTCTCTGTTATCTTGCACAAATACCTGGTAAGGTACCTTAATTTTTTGTGAGGAAACTTATTAAAGTAGCAATACTTCAATGACAAATTCTTGGAAAAAATTATTGAGGATCATGTCGTCTGACCTTAAGCAGCTTAGTTTACAATATATATTTTAATACATACATGTAATTTTATTCACAAAAAGTGAATGGGATTTGGCAGCAGCTAGGGAAAGCCTATTTTAGTCCTCTCCCTAACAATATTTAATCCATCTTGTGTCCAAATGACAATTTTTATTGTTACAGTAGTGAACTCCACCACATGACTTTATTGTAATATAATGATGATGCCACAATTGAATCTGTCTTAAGTTAACCCACTATAAGTTTATGAGTTTACCTAATCCTTTATGAACCACAAACTAAGTTAACCCATATTTACCTTTTGTAGCCTTAATCTTTATCAAGGGACTTGTTCTAGCAATATATTATCTAAAGTATGTCTTGCACAATAAGTTCAGAAGTTTTCTTCTTGAGGATAACTGTCATTTATATGAGGGATGATTTGAAAGTTTCGAGACTGTCTTCATTCTATTAAAAATGATGTATTTTTAGTTCACCTGAGCCAAATTGAGACTCAAATGAGCCACAGGAGTTCGCGTACCCATCAATTTTACTAAAACTTTCAGTAAAATAAAAAAAAAAAGTATGTAACACCTATATTAATAACAAAAGGGTGTATAACACAAGGATGTTATTATTATAGGTGTTACATACTTTTTTTATTTACTGAAAATTTCAGTGAAATTGATAGTACGCGAACTCCGGTGAATGAGCTTACATGTATCTGATTGAAATTTGTCCATTGTATGTGGTGTTGTAAACTTTTCACATTTTTGACTTCATCAGAACCACTAGGTTCAATTTTAAACAAATTTGCCACAAAGCTTCCTTGGGCGAAGGGGACTCAAGTTTGTTCAAATGAAAAGCCTTGTACTCTTTCAAGGGGAGATTATCAAGGATTCATGGAATTTGGGTTTGTTGTTAAAAAATCTTCTCAAGATCCACTGGGCCAGAAAAGATGAAACACTCGGGTAACCTATTGCTATCTTTTCAGCCGTCTTCATGGGATGTATATCATGCAATAACATTTGAACATTTTCAGCTTCTTCTCTTGAACCACTGTACCAATTTAAATTAATTTTGGCACATTAGCATGTATGGGTGAAGGGGAACAAAAATTGCGAATTTCATGGTCCCTGCCCCCTTGAGCCTAAGGGCTAAAACCATCAAAATTAATGCAATCTTTTAAAATCTTCTTTACTCCTGGACATCTAGCAGACAAACTGTTGTCATGATTGTAATAAGCATTGAGTCCTTAACCAATATTGTGAAATTATTGGCTCCAGGTTCAGGGGTTCTGGTGTTAGAGTGCTGTATAGACCATATAATGAAAATGAATAAATTCTTTAAAAATCTTCCTCTCTCTCCCTGTATATTTTGCACACAAACTTAGTTCATAGATATGAGCAAGGGTGAGCGTGGAGTTAAGGAATTAAGATAGGGCTCTATTAATTTTATAGTGAAAATACATTAATTCAGTTTAAAATCTTTTTCTTTTCTTTTGAGTACATGTATTTAGCAGAGAAACCAGTTCTTTTTTTTCAAATTATATGAACCCATGGATTAAGGTTGGGCTAAAAAATTCTACATAAAGTATGTATGCAGGGAAAAAATCTCTTCCAGAATAGCAAACCCATGTTAATATATTGATATTGAAGCATCCCAGTCTTGTTTGGATTGAACTTTGATTAAATCATAGCCCCTTATGGGGTAGTTTTTGGTCCACAATTTTAAAGAAATTAAAGAGGGAAATCTAAAAAAAAAAATCTGCTGATGAAGAACAACAGGGCCAAAATGACTCGGGTGAGCACTGTGGCCTATGGGCCAGTTGTTTCTGTTTTATAACAAAATTTAGGAACATGAATAAATGGTAGAAAGTTTGAGCAATATTTGACATTTCAATTATAGTATAATTGAATCAGCTGCACCAAAAATACATTAAATATTATGATTTTCAGAAATCGAAAGAATTTTCAAAGAACAAAGGGAGTTTAAGGAAATTTCCATTTTCAATGTGTGAAGAAAGAAGGCTTCTAAAAGGTGTCAAACAATTTGGGTACAGTTGGAAGACCATCCTTCAATCCTACAAATTTGCAAGTTTTAGAACAACAGAGGACTTACGAAACAAATGGAGAACTTTAAATGCATAACCTCTATTGCAATTACTCCATCTTTTACTGCTTACCAGCAATAAATGTAGGTATAGTATTGGTGACTACAATTTGGACATTTATATGTATTGTCTTTGTGTCACACAAACTATTTATTTACATGTTGTTATTTATTTTATTGAACAACGTTATCTATATGTTGTAAAATAAAAAAATGCAGAAATATATTTAATTTTTTTATCTTTAGAAAAGTTATGAAAAAATATTTATTGACCAGTTGTTTTAATTTTTAAAATTACATGGCAGATGACTCCAGTCATTTGAAGGATCACATACTGGAATGTTAGTTTACAATCAGTGGCAAATTGTACATTGTATATACCCGGGAAACGAAAGTGTTTATTAACCAAACAACATTACAGACGTTCAGATCGACAAAGCATGAAGTTGCACAAGGCAGGCCCGTAGAACGCGGGGGGTGGGGTTGTTATGACTTTATAGTAAATCTTCATTTAGATGCTGGTTCCCTCTTTTTTTGATGTCGTAAGGTCAAGCACTGGCAAATTGCAGGATTTTGATACACCCTACAGAATAGGATTTTGGAGTTTGGTGGACAGTTCACGTTTTTTTTTTTTAGTTTCTTTTTCTTGTTTTTGGTTTTTTGTTTGTTTTTGTTTTTTTAGGCAGATTTTTTTTAAAGGTTGCCCCCCCCCCCCTTTAAAACCGTCGCTACGGGCCTATAAGGGGAGGATTTAACCTTATCCAAAATTTGGGAATACTATTCAAAAGAAAAAAAAAGGTCAGGTAATCTTTGTAACTAATAATATTAATAAAAAGTTAATTCATGAACGTTAAAATCTAATAAATTTATTCTGATTCACCCCTCCCCTTGGAATTTTCAGAGTTATCAATGGTGTAACTAAAAAAATCACTAGAAAAATGCTGTAAAAAGAAATGGATTGTTATATCGAGAGTTGGCAAGATCTTCTCAAAGCGTTTAATGTCGCTCATTAGTGATGAAGATTGTGTAGATTCAGCGGTTATGTAGTTCTCCTTCCTATGAAACTTCTGAATGATCAGGAGAGCGAAGTATCTTTAGAACGTTAAGGTATCAGCAGTTAAGAAATTAAAAAATTACAAATGCCCACAAAAATGTCTTTAAATTCACAAAGCAATGAACATTTACCCATGATATTTCTTCAGAAGTAATCATAGTTAATCATATTATATAGGGAAAATTATCAAAACTCAAATATATTTCAGGAAATGCGAATGAAAGCACAAGCTATGCATGTTCTAATTGCGAATTATCAACAAATATATTTTAGAAAAAAATATTGGTGTCCAGGCATTCAGAGAAAATTGCATGTTTTTTAGTTCTTTTATTTACATCAATTCTTATATAACGTATAGTGCAAAAAATCTTGAGCTAGTTTTCTAATACAAAATCATATCATGCTTAAAAGCATCGGTATCTAAGGTTAGATTAAAGGAATTTTGACTTCTCTAAAATGTATTGATTTTTGTACTTTTATGGGGTACAAATGTCAATTTTTAACAGCACAGTTTATAAGACTTCAAAGAACCTTGAATCATCTTGAGATGAATTAAATGAGAATTGTTGCATGAAAACATTTCAATTTCAAGCTTCATTTCGAGACTTATAAAATAAAATAGTATTGAATTTTAAGTTATTCTTCCTGGCTGAGTAGTGGATTTCCTCAATTGATTTCCGAATTAATGAGTTGCAGTCGATTTATTTGGTTCAGTATGCCTCAGTCATATTTTAACCTATGATTTTTTTGTTGTTTGATGGACCGAAAAACATGCTCGGTCGACATGAAAATCGAGCAACACACAGCAGCTGTCAAAGAACCGATGATCTTTGACGAAGTAAAAGTTTACAAATCGGTCTATCAAAGTCCCAGTCATCCAGCGCCGGGCCGCTGACTGTTTTCGTTGTCAATTGATAATGAGTTGGGCAACCATTGATAGACTGTTCTCAACTGACCATTGACTAAATGTCTAATTTTTGTGTTGGTTTCTTTTTTTCCCCCTTTTTTTTGGGGGGGGGGGGGTATATTCTTCCACCATTTTGTAAAGTTTGTACGATTGTTTACCTCAGAGGAAGCCCCCCCCCCCCCCCCCCCCGAAAAAATGTGAATAAGGACCATGCCTAGAAAAACTATTTCAGTAGAGGTTAGAGAAAAACTGGCCACTATACCTCCTTAAAAAATGAGAGAAAGTGCAAATATGGAAGCATTCCAGAAAGTCATCACTGGAATTTACACAAGAGGCCCACAGGCCTTCACGGTCACCGGAGTATGATTCAACTTGGTCATGTAATGACAATTTAACCATTAGAAGATGTTTAAGAAAAAAAATTCATATATTCATTTTCACTACTAGTATATGATAAATAGAACCCGGCCCTAATCCAAGAACCCCGATCGAGGGGGCATAAATTTTAAAATTTTGAAAAAAGGCACACATGCTCATTATAACTAAGCGCTTAGTTAGTCTGCTAAAATAAAAGCAGAGAAACAAATTTTTAAAGAATCCCTGCATTTTCACAACATGATCAATCGAGCCCCGCCCTAACTGCAGAACCATAGAGGAAGGGACCATAAATCTCACAGTTTTGGAAAAGGCATCCTTGTTTATCATGGCCATTTACTTAGTTTGTCTGTTAAGTACCCAGAATAGGAAAATAATTTCTATGATATAATACATGTTCATCACATGATCAATAGAACCCTGCCCTTACTGCAGAACCCCTAATAAAGGGGCCAAATTTTGAAAGGGGTACCCTTGCTCATCATAACCATGAATTTAGTTTGCTAAATATTCTAGTGCAGAGAAGAATTTCAGAGAATTAATTCATTTTCACTGTAAGATTAAAAGCGCTACCCTAACTCCAGAATCTCTGACCCAGAATTTATGAATTTCACAGTTTTGGAATAGCAACCTTGCTCATAACTATGCACTTAGTTTGTCTGCTAAATTCCCAGAAGCTGAGAAAGTTTTCAAAGAATTAATGTATTTTCACTATATGATTAGTAGAACCCCACGCTAAACACCAAATCCCTGACCCAGGGGCCATTAATTACAATAGGATCTACAAGAGCTCCACCCAAAATATCAAGACCCCTGATCCTGGGGCAATGAATTTCACAATTTTGATAGAGGGCTTAATGCTTATTTTTGAAGATTGCATTAATTTTGATTGTTTTGTCCCCACCCCTCAGGGGGCAGAGACCATGAAATTCACAATTTTTCCCCTTTGCCCATGGATGCTATATACCAAATTGGTTTAGCGGTTCTGGAGAAGCTTAAAATGTTCAAATGTAAACAGACGACAAACGAAAGCAGATAGCAATATGTCTCCTGAGTGGTGACGTATACTGAAATGTAATGGTTGCTGATGCAGTCAGCCTGGCGAGAAGCGGGTGCTTCTCAAACGATAGACGGTAGATTGTCGATGCAATCGTGTTACTGTAAGCTGACAGTCGGTCAATAAATTACAATTGCTCAATAGATCGGCGGACTTATGCCCGACTTTCGGCCGATCATCGGTGTCTGTCATTCGATGTTTAGGAGCCTCAAACATCTAAAAAGTTGGCTGACTCACCGGACTGTCTGTCGATTGTCGTGCTGTGAATAGTTGTCAGTCGCTAGACTTTATACAAACGATCATCACAACTCAAGATATCAGACACCGATGGGAAAAAAAATTATAATTTTGGCCCGACGAACACACAAATGGTCGGTTGACAGGAAAAAAATCCGAAAGCGGCCAAGACGACAGCCGACGGTCTCCAGAAAGTGGCATGAAAAGTCCCATTTTTGCCTCCAAAACCATCGGCCACTGGTTGGTTTTGGAAATGTGACAGAGGCATTATCCTCAGGACAAAGGAAATAGGTACATTCTTTTTCTTGCAGAGTCAAATCGGTAACAAGAAACCATAGCATTGCCAAGCATAGAGACAGAAAGAGTCACAGACTTGTTGATAGAAATCTCCTGGTTAGGAATACCGGGAGAAATGTTAACGTCTCCCATGAAAGATGTATATATGTAAGTATAATTTCATTTCTATGAAGCAGTGGACAACTACACTTTACCCACATTTTTTAATTGATTAGTTAAAATATTTAATTGCACATAAAAGCATATCTTGAAATAACTTTTTGCAGAGAAGCTTTAAGACTGGAATAAGTGTCGAAATGCTGTTCTCTTTCCTTAACAGAGATTCCACAGGAAAGCCTGGATTTTTCTCTTGAATTAGTCTATAGAAAGTTAGTACGAGGTCCTACAATGTATGTCTATTTAAAAAGAATTTTGTATCAAGGAAATGGGGATTCCTGTAGTATAAACAACGTACCAGTATGTGTTAAATCTAAAAGATATATTACAGTCAATGGTTCAACTGGCATAAGAAAACCTTGAAAAATCTGCTTCCACATACAAGAATTACGACAAGAAATACAAAGGAATCTGTAAAGGTAGGTGAACCTGCCCTTATTTTAATGCCTACAGACAACATAAAATAGCCGCCAATGGAAAAGTCCTTTTGAAGACTGAGGATTTGAAGAAAAATAAATCGCTTAGACTATCAGATGAAAATGATGATGCTACACTGACTATAGACATGTATGATGTATCCAACAATTGATGGAGAAATATTAAATTTGTCGCTATGATACTTAGCAAATGCGAAACTAAGATATGCTGCCTTTTTAGCTGGAAATCAGTATATGCAGTAGGGCTTAGTAGAATGTCTGTATCCAGAGGGACCCCAAGAAATAACATAGGTGGGATTAAGTGTCTAGGATTAGTAAGCAGAAATGTAGAGTAATGTAATATATATATATATATATATATATATATATATATATATATATATATATATATATATATATATATATACCCCCAAACATTTGGTATGAAACACGTCAATCAAATACGACCCAAGGACAGGTTGTTTTTGCAAACAAGGTCATTATTGCTACCATAGAATTATACATATGTATGTATATATACCAAAGCCCTAACAATTGGTATGAAATGTCAATCAAAATACGACCCTAGGACAGCTGCAGGTTGTTTTTTCAAACAAGGTCATTATTGCTACCAAAGAATTGCGAAATGCTGACTTTGAATGCGAGTATTGAAAGCCTGTTCCTGTTTAAAAATTGATCGTACTCGGAACATGCTCTTGCGTAAGTTGACGATGGAAAAACTTAAGTAAACATGTAAGTCGTTTGTTCTATAGGCCTAGTTTAGTTTTTAGTTGGCCATTGAAACGTTTATAGACAGTAAAACATCCAAATATAAAACAGATGTACCAGACTCTGTAGTGTCTTTTATTTGAATTCACTGCCTTTGAGTCTATGACTCAAGTGCGCTTTTCAGATCAAAGAATGTCCAGCATCCGTCTGTGTGTCTGTACACTTTCCAATTTTCGACTTATTCTCAAGAACCACTGAGCCAATTCCAACCAAACATGCTACAAAGCATCCTTTGGTAAAGGGGATTCAAGTGTATTCAAATGAAGGAATATCCCCTATTTCAAGAAGAAATAATGAAAAATTAATGAAAATTTAGTGACATCTTTTAAAAATCTCCTTTTTAAGAACCACTGTGCCAGAAAATATGAAAATGTTTGTGAAAGTTCCATTACATAGTGTAGCTTCATGTTTGTTCAATCATTACCTCTGGGAGTAGGGTGGAGCCAATAGGAGTTCAAAGTTTAACATAGGAATATAGAAGAAAAAATCTTCTCAAGAACAGCAGAAGATAATGAAAAATTAATAAAAATTTAGTGGCATCTTTTAAAAATCTTCTTTTTAAGAACAAGTGGGCCAGAAAATACGAAAATTTTTGTGAAAGTTCCATTACATAGTGTAGCTTCAAGTTTGTTCAAATCAACACTTCCGGAAGTAGGGTGGAGCCACAATACGAGTTCAAAGTTTAACATAGGAATATAGAGGAAAAATCTTCTCAAGAACAGCAAAACCAGGATTAGTCATATTTATATGGAATCATCCCAGGAGTGTAGATTCAGATTTGTTCAAATCATGGCTGGGGGAGGGGGGGGGGGAGGAAATCAAAGTTTCATAGGAATATATAGGAAAAGATCTTTAAAAATCTTCTTCTCCAGAACAGCAAAGTCTTGATTAATCTTATTAATGGACAAGCGTTCTCTCAGGTAGTGTAGATTCAAATCATGTCCCGGAGAAAGGGGAGGGGGAGCAACAATAGGCGTTCAAAGTTTTACATAGGAATATAAAGAAAAAGACCGTAAAAAAATTCTGATTAAAAGCAAAATCATTATTAGTCATATTTACATGACTATGTAAGCATCCTTTGGTTCAAGTTCAGATCAGGATCCTCAGGAATACATGTAGGCTGAGGCTATAATAGGGGATCAAAGTTTTACAAGAGAGTGTATTTCTAGAGTGGCAAGAGTACTGTTTAATAGGCTTAGGCTACAATAGGAAGATTTTTTGAGAGTGGCAAGACCACACAAAATCATATTTATGGAAAAAACATTCTTTTGTTCTGTGGAATCATTTTTTTTTAAATATGAGCCCTGGGGTTAGGGTAGGACCGATCCATATTTTATAGAATGCATTTGACCGGAAAAAAATCTATCTCCAGGTTGGAAGGACCATGTTGATTGTGTTGCATTCCAATGTTGTGTGAATTAAACATTGATTAAATCATAGCTCCATAGGGCTAGCTTTTGGTCCACAATATGGAGTCAAATTTTTCATAAAACTAAAGAGGGGATTTTTGATTGAAAAATCTGCTGAAGAACAGAGCCAAAGTGACTCTGTGAGCGTTCTGGCCCATGGGCCTCTTGTTATTGAAGATGCAGTTGTCTATGATGTCAATATGTCTTGTCTTTAATTTTTCATGAGGAACAGTTATATAAAGCGTACAAAAGCGCACAAAAACCATACGTTTTGGTGCTTTTGATTTTGTGATTCAAAATTTTCTTAAAGTTCTTTGAAGTATTTTAGTATCAGCATTTGATTTACACCACTTCTTGATTATTTTGTAGAGCAGTGCGTCTAAAGTTTCTCTTCACAACCATGATGAGTAAAGATAGGGGCTTCGAGGACCATTTACTTGATCCTGCAAAGTATCTTTGTAAGGATTTTTATGAAGCGTTTGAATCCAGTATAGGTACAGTAATTCAAATCCACATCCACTATTATTATCATGGTTCGTTTTGGTTCTGTTCACAGTGTCTGATTTCCTCTTTGCATGACTTTCGGCAAGTTGTTCTGGACGCCCGAACTGACGTTTGCCCTGTGGGTTTTCTGGGGGTGTGTCCAATCCATCGCCACTTCCTACGGGATATTTGCTGAGATATTGTTTCTTGGTTTGTTGCTTTCCACATGTTTTTGTTGTTTATCATTTATTTCTGGCCACCTGATGTTTATCATGTGGCGGAGACAGCTGATTGTGAAGGATAAGTTTCAAATCCGCTGTCGTTGATATGAATGTTCAAAGTATTTAAAACCGAAACCAGATTTTGAAGAATTTCATCCTATGTAAGGTAACTGTGAGAAAAAGTTAGAGTTCCAGATTTTTGGATGAAAGCCAAATTCTTCTGAAAATGCGCCTCACAAACAAAGACTATATTGTAACGGGCTTTAACACCTGGACCATAACATATTGTTCAGGTAGTCTGTCTAAGTCTTTAATCACTTCCAGTTTACTGAAAACGAAAGGATAGATGGTTTGCATTTTGCCTTTTAATCGTTTAATTATCTTGAGAGTGCGATGGTTACGGTCCGCACACGGTTTTGTGACAAACACTAGAGAAACAGACAGCAGAACATGTTTCTACACAATATCATATTATAGTCTGACATGATTAATAGGCAAATATTATTATGCATATCAAATTGAGTAATCTCGGTTCACCTGTGATATTCATTTTCAAAAGATTTTAAAACGAAGATTAGCCACAGTGTAGATATAACCTTTTAGCATCGTCGGATACCCACGGCTGATCTCGTGTTTTATTCATCAGATGATGTATGTAAAAGACTAAATCAGCCGTGTGTATCCGATAATGGCATTTTGATTGTGTTTATTTAAATTGTTCTTAACCTGTTCTTTTTTTACAACATAAAATATGTATGGCATGTTTCTGCACGTCTCTTTGTACATATAGTACTAACTTTTTCATGACCTCTATTTTTTTTACAACAAGATTCTAAAGCATGTTTCTGCACGTCTCTTTGTACCTAAGAGGGATGATGTGAAGTGCTTTGATTTTAGTGCTCATACGCATAAAAATAGTCACCGTTCATTAATAGCTATAGGAATTCTTTTAATTCTCATAGCGTAGTACCACCGAAAGGTAAGTGGAAAATTGTTTCCTGATTGTTCCAATTAAATTTTGTGAGACAACATGTGCATAATGTGTTTTAGGGAAGATTTTGCATTCATTAATTTTTGCTCTCGACGTCGTAATGTAAGATACAAGTATTCTAATTAATCATAACAAACACATCATTTACCTTACTAAGCTTTGGTAAATTACTTTAAAACTGTGAAATTATTTTGAAGTGTGTTTGGTCAAAATTGAAATAAGTACCAACCCCACGCGAAAAGCTGTCTGCGATTTTTGTAATTAAAAAAAACTATGTGCAGTGAAAACTAAGATATCGCCAGTAGTGTATGCTACGCATGATTCATATTCATTTCATTATGCATTATTTTTAGCATGCATGTTTTGATGATTAACTTTTTGGCTCACCTGAGCCGAAGGCTCAAGTGAGCTTTTCTGATCAAAGAGTGTCCGGTGTCCGTCTGTAGTCCGTAAACTTTTCACATTTTCGTCTTCCTCTCAAGAACCACTGGGCCAATTTCAACCACACTTGCCACAAAGCATCCTTGGGTGAAGCGGATTTAAGTTTGTTCACAGGAAGTGCCGCGCCCTCTTTCAAGGGGAGACAATTAAGAATTCGTGAAAATTTGGTGGCATTTAAAACTCTTCTTCTCAAGAACCATTGGGCAAGAAAAGATGAAACTTATGTGAAAGCTTCATTTCATACTCTAGATTCAAGTTTGTTCATATCATGACCCCCGGGGGTAGGGCGGGACCGCAAGAAGGGGTCGAAATTTTACATATAAATAATAGGAAATGTCTTTAAAATCTTCTTCTCTAGAACAGCAAAGTCATGATTAGTCATATTATAATAGAAATATCCTCATGTATTGTAGATTCAAGTTTGTTCAAATCATGACCCCTGAGGGTAGGGCGGGGCCACAACAGTGGGTCAAAGTTTTACATAGGAATATATAGATGTAATGGTCAAGGGACATTTGAGTAAATCGCATTGAAGACCTCTAATAATGGAATGACCTGACAACCCTTGGAATGGACTAGCCAAACCAAAGGGCTTTGGAAAAGTCAGGCATTCAGAAACTAGCTGAAGAAGTTGGATTTTGAATCAGCAATAAAGAAGGTATTCCATACCTAATAGCAACAGATTCAATTAAATTGAATACGTAACAGATGTGAAGGTGTTGAATACTCAGTGTATATAGACATAATTCAAATTTATTACAATTAGCATGTACTGGCGGGATGTGTCCTAATTTATGACCTTGAATTTTGGTAAGAGTTATCTCCCTCTGTTTAATTAATTAAAAAAAATCAATTTTAGAAAAAAACTTACCTGGTAAAAGAAATCGTTTTCAATATTGTCATTCTATTTCTAATGTTTAATGCATCTTTCCACCGCAGTATTTATTGATATTCTTATTATTTGAATTTTTTTTTTTAAAATTCGCTTGTCCCCATAGACTTCAATGCAATCTTTGTTAATTAATTACTGCTAAGTTAATTACATTTTGGAAACTTTTTCTTGGTAAATCATTTTCTACTGTAAAATGCCTTTACATAAGAAATGTCTGTAAAATCTTCTTCTCAAGAACAATAAAGCCATTATTAGTCATATTTATGCAGAAGCAACCTTAGGTATTGTAGAACCAAGCTTGTTCAAATCATGGGGGCACAACAGAGGGTCAAAGTTTTGCATAAGAAAATAGAAGAATGATTGTTTGATTTGTTTTACATCCCGTTCGAGAATTTTTCACTCATAAAAGGACTTCACCATATACCGGTGAAGGGCTTCAAACTTAGACCTTTACTCGGCACTCAGGGCCATTGAGTTGTGAGGGTTCTTTATCGTGCCAACGCCTACCGTGACACGGGGCCTGGGTTTTTAAGGTTTCATCCGAAGGACCCGCAACTTTCACTTCAAAGTGTCGAGCGCTTGGCGAAGGAACAGTTGCTACCTATTTTTTATCGACTTGGGTCAGTCGCGGCCGTGATTTGAACACACGACCTTCCGATCACGGAGCAAGTGCTCTACGACTGAACTACTATGACCTTGGAAACATAGGGAAAATCTTTAAAATTCTTCTGTATAGTACAGCAAAGCCATGATTAGTAATATTGATATGGAAGCATCCTGAGGTAGTGTAACCCCCCTTCAATACTGAACTGATTTCTGCTTCTCCCTGAGCTCAAGGGAGTGATGTGGCCCATGGACCTCTTGTTTAAATTGTACATTTTCAATTAACAGTATTATAAAAATAATGTAAAAACTGGTTCAAATACATAATATACAAACAACATAATTGTGATGCTGAAAGTTCCAAAATATTTGCTTCTTTATAAATATGTTTGAATTGTGAATATCAGGGAAACCATTTTACATTAGAAGTACAATAAGGAAAAAGCCTGAATATACATACATGAGAAAGAGTTATTGCCCTTAGCAACACTTTTTAAAGATTGAATAATTGATTAAATAAAAGAAAATATTCAAATTTTTTTTATTCTTTTACTAAGCAATATTTGTTATTACAACCATTGAAAGACATTCTTCTAAAAGATATGTGTCAATTGGGTATGGATTTAAGGATGTACAATACACCTACCCCAAAAATTTCCTGTCGTTTCATTTTCGTTATTTTTGTATATCTTATACATGACGATATCTACTATGTGTATGTACATTTTGGTCAAAATCGTTCGAGCCGAATTTGGACAGGAAGTTCCTAAAATTACCCCCCTTTGGCTGATCACGAGTACAAAAAAATTTCAACCAACTAACTATAAAATCCCTTATTTTAAAATATTTAACGTTAGCCTAGCTGTGAAAATTTGCCGAATCGTTCGTTTAACTATTAAACACACAAACAAAGTGAATTTGTAGAGGTACACTTCGAGAAAAACGATTTTGAAGAATTTAAACTGAAAAACTATGGTTCATTTTTGCATTGAAAATGGGTGATTTTCAAATGAAATATTTTTTAAAAGAAAAAATCTGTCGTTTAATTTTGAAAGAAATAATTACTTCTTGTAACTGGTGATCAAAATGTTCTTGATAATTTTTTGAAAATTTTTTAAACGACGCGTTTTGAATTTATAGCGGAAAATATCTCCTCCCCCTCTCTCCGTAAGTTAAGGTTCTCACAGCGTCTTTCAGACTTGAGACGAAAGCAGTGCTATGAATCTACAAATACAGATAAAAATTCCCAGCTGGAAAATATCTTTTACTTTAAAAATGTAATGTACGTTATATTTATCACAAATATAAAACTTTACATCTGCATTTAAATGAAGATGAATAAGCAATTTATGAAATTTTAAGACCCCCCCCTCCTCCATTATTCTCTGCAATGCAGGACATTCGAGCTTGAACATCGGTTACGTCTGCATAATAAATATATATAATTGGAATATTGAACTCCTAAAGTAATTTCCTTCATTCCTGTATACAGAATAAATATTGACTACTAATATTTTTTGTTATTATAAATATTTTTTTTTTTATATTTATATTTAGTAAAACTATTTTTTCTATGGACCACGTGTCCGGTTTGGAGTTCATGCATACAGGTGCAGATTCAAACCTTTATATGACTTCTACTTGCATTGAATATTATTTTTTAAGTGAACCAACAGTGGTGTATGTACAACTCTCTTGTAATGAAAATGGAATATAGGTACGTATAGGTTTTAAATTATTTCTGTTTTCAAACGAGAGTGTGCCCCCCCCCCCCCCGATACTGTATCCTTCTGTTGTTTCAATAAATGGAAATGATGTATTCGTCCATATTAACTTCAGTTGTACCAAACTGTAAATTATTTATCAATATAAAAATTATTCATGTGCGTGAATCATCTACAATGGTATCATCTACATTGGTATCAATCGTTTTGTTTTGAAATGCGAACTGAAACTGTTTACAGTAAAAGATTTTCTCAATGGGGTGCAACCGTTGTATTAATTTCAATAAATAATTTTTCACTGTTGATACTTACTTTAATTTGTATAAACTTCAGTTCTTGTGTTCCTTGCAACACACTGTAAATGTATCTGTGTATTTGTGAGGGACCCCCCCCCCCCCCATAATTCTTCGGAAAACAGGAGGAATAACTCAGCTCAGGGGAGGAAAGACATACACCTCTACATTTTTAGAGTTGTTTCTCTTTGATCAGTGACCTTCTGAAAACGGTTACTCTTTTTCATTTTTTTTTCAAAGAGAAGAAAAGCAAGAAAATGTTTATTTTCGTAATATGATAATATTGAGACATACCGGTAATATTTATTCTCAATGTTATGCGGTCGATTGTAACGGGAAAAAGCAATGTAGAGTAGCATTAGCATTTTTAGATTAAAACATTGCCTTTGTGTATATCATAAATACAATATTAAAGAATTAATTAACTAAATTGAAATTAAAGTAGGAACCTGTCTTTTTTTCTTTTTTATGGAGGGGGAGATTTATTGCAATTGCGCAAATGATCAAGGATAGAATTTGGTATTCCTAAAGAAACCACAATAAAAACCTTTATTCTATTTATTTTACATTAATTACATCGGGATCGTATCGCTCATCATTTTGACGCTTCGTAATTAACGTTAAATTTAACGTTATGTTAAACGTTTTATTGAAATCCCAGGAGTTATCTCCCCCAATGTGTTGTACGTCTTTAAATTAACTAGTGCTAATTGTAACCGGAACCGTTACAGATGTTCCCCAAACGGCTCCCCAATCCCTTATGATGCCCCATTCCCTACAAGCTTCAATAAATTAGACAATACTTTTGTAATATAGATGGACACTTTATTTTTAAGGGTATTTCATTGGAAAACTACTCCGATATAGCCATATGGGTATAAGCCAATCAAATTTCAGCGCATGTGCTTGCACATGTTTTCTACATTTTTCACATTAATTTTCTTATAGTGTCTCACAATACATACATTTGTGTTAAATATCAAAGAATCTCATTGAAAAATAAGAGAGATGTAACCCTTTAAGTATTAGCCAATC